CAATGCACAGGGTGCTTGAAATAGCAACCCCAGTCGGTCAGTCTGCCGCCGGTGCTCCTTTATTACGGGGTCTCCTGAAATTAAAAAAAAACGCGCGGTATTCTACAGCCGTAAAGTGTTTGAAAAGTATATTTGCATTTATTCAACGCATTCATCTTGGCGCAAGTGATATAGCGGGGATATTTTAATTTTTTTTCTGTTTAAATGCTTTATAAACATTAAGTTAATATTAAAACTGTCCAAGCAACTACGGTATTCCAATAAGACAGCTGTCACTGACATTTCAAAGCCGAATCTGTTTGACCTGTGTTCTGACCTCCGGTGTCCTAAATAGAGGACACATGTTATTAAATATCGATTTTGACCCGATCCAATATTAACACATAAATTACTATGATTTTGGCCCAAATGAATTTTCTAAATCATTGATGATAAACGTGAAATTTACTCTAAACATATTTTGTTTATTATTTATTGAATCACCTTCCTAGAAGTTATAGATCACTGCCGTGTAATGCTTTCAAAGGGAAGGTGCCTTTATAGCGTACAAGAGTATTTAGATCATAAGTTGTGCCAATAATTATAATTTACTGTTCTTATTATGACTTCATCATATGAAATTTACATGCCTATTTTTATATGTATGAGTGTGCGGATTTTTATAATTAATCCATCTAAATGTACCACTTTCAACTTGCAAATAAACGTTTTATTATCTTAATATATATAAATTACGTGTCACGTTGTTTGTCCGCTATGTACTCCTAAACTACCGAACCGATATCAATCAAATTTGCACACCGTGTGTAGTTTGATCCAGCTTAAACGATAGGATTCTGAAAAGATGGGAGCTTGTGGTTTATTGTTTATTAGAATGCCAAATCATAAAATGACTGCTTCACGACTGATTTGAGAGCGACCGCCGATGCGAAAACCGCTGTGTGAGTTCGAAAAGTGAGTTACAGAATCGCAGGGCTGAACTGACAACAGCCTCTTTGTTAAAAATTGGATATTTAGCTAATTTATAAATCACCAAGCACTTGAAGTGGGATGTTTTTACTGTGCAGTAGAGTTTTAGATTGAAGGAATTCAGGAAGAAAAATAATAGTAATGAAGAAATAATTAATAACAACGCAAACGATGTTACGTACAAGATTTCAAGGTTTCTTCAGTTACAGCATCAACAAATAAATAATAACCGCTACTAAGGTCATATTACTTACGAAAGTAATTTTACTTTAACACTAACGACTGGAAAGCTTGGAAAAAAATTCTTACCCTTAAAACTAAAGTCCATAATATAGTCATTAGTCACAATGTCGTCCTGAATATGTTGTAAAATATGTCTTAATACAGAAAGAATGATTTGACAATTCTTAAATTAGATTTAAGTTTCGACATATTTTTTTCATCGTTATTTATTTTCTACCATACATATAGTCCTTGTCACATTACATTTTATTTTTTTAAATAATTTAATAAATAGTATTACACGTGACATAACATCCGCCCTTTTGTTTTAAAGAGCTTTAAACAAACGTCCGTGAATATCACTATTAATACGGAATTCGGTTTATTAATGAAAATATATGTAAATAAAATCAGTGCGTCTCTTACTTGAGAGGTGTTTATTGCTAACTGTATTTATAATACATTAACCATTAAGCAGTTTTTGAGAATAAAAACATTAAACATCGCGTTTATGATTCATACTTGAGGTGGTTTATGATAACAAAGAATTGTTTTTTGTACTGATTATATTATAAGGTTATTACGGTTTTAGTGTAATTTAGATTGTAATTTGAGTTCCTGTATAATTTTTCAAGGCTAATTTTTTGTGAAAATTATTTTCAATTTTGATTTGTAGTATCACTTAGTTTTTTGTTTTTATTTTATGTAATAGGAGGCAAACGGGCAGGAGTCTCATCTGATGTTAAGTGACACCGCCGCCCATGGACACTCATATTGCCAGAAGGCTTGCAAGTGCGTTGCCGGCCTTTCAAGAATTGGTACGCTCTTTTCCTGAAGGACCCTAAGTCAAATTGGTTCGGAAATACTTCAGTCGGCTCACATAATGGTGGTTCCAAAAACTGCCTTAAGAAACGTTCAGTTGTGGAACGACGGACGCCGACGTGATACGGACAGTATATTGTATTCAGCTTTGACGTCCGAAAATAAAACCCAGCTGCAGATGTTGGTCCGAACAGCTCCTCTGAACACTGCATGGCGAATTGGGCCGACCAAAATTTTCGGGTTGCCTGATGTTTAGCGATAGCAACGCATTGAACTCGGCTATTTTTTTTATTTAAAAATGTTTCTCGTATTGTTTTGTAAGTGGAAATAACGTATAAATACCTTTTACAAATTAGTATAATTTACGCTGAACACTCATAGTAATTAGGTACGTATAGCATACGAGTGTTGACTTTAGATGAGGATATTTTGTAGACCAAGCTGACACTGTCTAGACATCGAGACATCTTTCAACATCTAGAATATTAATATTCTAATTCATTTATATCCTTTCAGAAATTGTTTTCTAATATATTTAATTGTTCTTTTTATACACTAATAAAAAATTCTAGAAAATTCTAGAAAACCTGTCTAACAATAAAATTGTGAAGAGGTGTTAAATGGTTTAAAAAAAGACTTAGGGAGAATCAGAGACCAGACTTAGGACTAAGTATGACTAGTGTATGTCAAAAAATTATTTGGCATGAGTAGTTTCGTATGTAGAGATATTTGATGTATGATAGATTAAAATCTCATCACCTTAGATTATTTTAGAACATATTTTAAAACTTTCACCAGAATATTTGAATCAAGAACCTAGTTTTAAGCTAACTAAGCCATGAAGTTGTGCAAAACGCCATTTCTAAGCTCATATTTGACCAAATCTAATGCTGTAAAGGTAATAAACGAAAAAGAGGAAGACAACTTAGAAGGTAGATAGACCAAATTAAGGAAACAGCAGGTGATGACAGAGAATGGCACAGTGCCGAGAGGAATGGCGGGATTTGAAGGAGGCCTTTGCCATTAAAGGGCACAAATGTGTTTAAATTTAAGTAATACAATCCAGCGACAACAGAACAAGATCCTAGGAGCAATTGCAAAATTACCATGGTATATAACCAACGACGAAGTTCACGAACACCTTGACATCAGAACTATCAAAGAGGAAATCCGGAGACTGGCAGCTAAATAAAAAGAGCTGTTAATCTGTCACCCGAACGAACAGTAAGTCATACGACTAGAGCTAGTAGACCGGCAGTAGATAAGTAGATGCTTTCAATGGGAAGCCACTCCACATGACAGAACCACTGCACAGATTCGCTCATAGCCTTAGGGCTAATTGCAAATAACCGCAGAAAAAAAAAAATGTAAAAGCATCTGAAGAAAAAGGCAGTGGAATCAGTGGAATCTCTAGTAACTCGATCCTAGTTAAGTCAAAAAAATTGCCACGCCCTTCCGCTGTACCCTGAACTGTAACTCGAACAAAATGTTATTTACCGAACGATGTATTGATAATACATATTTATACTCATTCACTCGAATTTCAAAAAGGAAGACTCCGTAAGTTGTAGTTAGTAAAAATAATATACAAAACTTAAGTTGAATTGTTATTAAAATTCGACTCTAGAAATCGAAAAATACTAAGTCGAACTTTCAGCAGTTAAATCATACGTATCTCGAAGTTCTTGTTAAGTCGAAAATGTAACCTTAACTCCAATTTTTTTTTCATTTCCCTTGACATAGCACTTATAGAGATTCTACTGTATTATTAATAACGCTGTATTATGGGACTATTAATTCAACCATACCAGAATGTTTACTGAATCAATCGCTTTATCACATAATATAATTAAACAATAAATTAGTGTTAATTTACATTCGGTGCTATAATAACGTGTTGTGTTAAAGTTCAGTGTGTTTGTGTTATTGTTCTGATAATACATTAGACGTCATTGCTTAGTAATGAAAATTACGATGTTAGGGGAGAAATTAATGTTTTAGGAACTTTTATACTTACTCTCATTAACAAAATTACTTTTTTTATGCGAACTTAATTATTATGCAAATTGCACGTCGCATTCGGACAGTAGTTTTAATTTTGTAATTTAGTCTTCTGGGCTCATAATGTCTGATTAAGTTAGCTTTAAATTAAATTAATACTGTATGTGGGGCCTTGCGTATAGGATTTTGGTCAAAACTAAATCGGTTATGTTGGACTTTATGTACTGTTTCGTCTCTGTCAATTGGTGTTTACGCCGTGATGCAAAGAGATGAAAGAGTATTTTAGCTAATTGCAATTCGATTGAATGAGGATAAAATATATTTAGTTCCATTGATAGGAAATTGGGAGTTTTCATAGTTTAATTCATGACGCTTCCTCATACGGGTCGCGGTTAGCCCGAAGCCGGGTTGGATCGCTAGTAATATATAAAGAAAGAATTGACGTTTTTCTATTATTATTGAAAATTGCGAATGCCCACAGTAAAGTTATGTTTCCCTTGATTACTTAGTATAGTATATTTTAGCATACAATCACATAATTACTCTATCCTATATTAAATTGGTTTTTGCATATTATGACTATATCCCCGACAAATAGCATGACGTAAATTTTAAGTATTTAATAAAGTTAGATTCGCTTAAAATAAAATTAATGATTTCGCAATCTTTTGTTTAGACTGGAGGTCAGAACTAAACGATAGCTTCTTATGAAATTATTAAGTAAATTAGAAAAACGCGTCGACGATAGAAGTGATATTTGAATATATTTCGTTTTATTTAACTAATACTAAATAGTGCATGAGGTGTTATTAAAATAGCAAGTGTTAGCTTGTATGTTCCAAATTCAAAAGTCCGAAGTGTTTGAACGTTTTAAAGTCTCAAACCGAGATACGAAAATAAGTGTAATATAGTTTGTCGACTTAGCTGCCTTCCGTGGTAGCTATTATTAAGTGCGCTTTAAATCAGTCAAAATAAATCCCCAAACGATGAGAAACCGTGTCCTACCCCTGTTGGCTCCCGTGTTCTTGTCGAAGCTATGGAGGAGACGTCGTCGAGCGAAAGCCATTGAGAAATTACATGGGGTATGTTTATGACATTACATACTTATAGAGGCCGTAACATGTAAATTAGAGAAGTTCTTAACAATTTATTTTTGTATGGAAAAAATTTAGAAGCTCGCATCGAAGGGACTGCTCATATTAGGTCGTAAAAACGTCGGTCGATAGTCGTAACAGCCGATGACGTTGTTATCAAGTACCTAATACAATAGAATTCAGCCGGGACCTTTGATTTTGGTCAATATAACCGGTATGTTGTTCTAAACGATGTCGCCGTAAACGGTTTTGACTGTAGAACTGTGAACATGTACCGTTCGGTTTGATAACGTGAAATTATTGTTTTAGTTCATGTTAAGGCCTCAGTTAAAATTGTACCAACTATACACCTTCATAACCGATGAGTCGTTTGATTTTGTATACTCTTGGATGGAGAAACTGTAGTTGGTTAGACTTGGATGAAAGAAAAGTTTCGTGTACCTTCTAGATTCCCCAGGTATCCCATTTGTCCCTCCTTTCAGAAAAACGCGTTTTGTCCAAAACTCACCGATATCCCGATTGAGCATTCTGACAAACGAGCTACGTTGGATATCCATAGTTGCTTACACTTTGTAACCAATTTTCCTTTAGTTTTGTATAATTTATGAATCGAAACTTTTTTCTTTTCGTGTTTGTTATGTTTGCCTATAAGTGCTTGTTACATTCAATTTTGTATTTTATTTTTCTTATGTACCAATGTATCAGTGTGCCGAGCGTTGGAAAGCTTTTGTAAATATATAAATAACTGAATTGGTACATTACGGGATTTTCACTAGACTTTGACTAGACTTCTAACATTAATTAACTATTAATGTCTACTTTTATCTTAGTCCGTGAACTGGCTGATCTATCTGATAATTTTTATCAATATAATCAATAAATATAATAAGACAAAGGACATGAAACTGAACCATTTTATTGTTATTAGTATTATAGAGTTGTATAACCAAGCATTCAGCAACTTGACGCAGAGCTTTCATATCCAAATACTGAATTAAATTTTTATATCACTGTTTTATAAAAACGTTATTTATAAACACAACTTACTATTACAGCTATCTTTTGCTCAAGAGAGCAACAAATTTCAATGGATTTCGGTACTTAGCCTAAATCTCTTTCCATTTCCACAAATAGGAAAAACAAGAATCCTGTCGCGAAAGGGCCGTAATTTCTTAGATAAGCTCAAGGTCATCGACCTTGCGTAACTGCGTAATAGAGGTTCGTGAACTGTCTCCACAGATCTCATGACCGCCTGGTAATTGAAATTTGTTAATATTTAATACATCGCTATTATTTATATAACATGTAAAATCGAGTCGGGTATGATTAAATTACATCACTAATAGCAATACTAGTAATCAAAACAAATGAAAACTATTGATTTTATGACGCGTTTGACTATTACGTATCAAATATTAAATACACTTTGAGCTTAAATAATGCTTTCAAAAATTAACGAGTTACTTTTAATTTTTTAAATCTAATAACAGAAATCGATAATTCTGACGCCTGTTATAGTAATGGTTTGATGTATATTTGTGATTTTATATCATTTATTTACTAATTACAGAGTGCTTCGGAGACGTCTGCGGGCGCTGGGGGTGCCTCGTCGGGGGGCAGCGCCCGGGTGTCTTCACGGTCGAGGACGTCAGAGGAGCCCCACATCGGTTAGTAAATTACGATCTTTATTTATGTTAAGGTCGTCTTTTGTAATACAGAAACATCATCAATATCTATAATAGAAAATCCTTGGGATTGATTTGCTCCAGTTCAAACAATTTGTATGACTCAAAACTTAGCGATTAAAAAGAGTGGCGGAAAGTTTCTTGCCAGTTCTTCTTGCCCGCTCTACGCCCTTGACTTGCGAACTGGTAGTATATGTAAATTTTCAATTAATTTAACTTCTTTTCTGACGTTCATAAGTGTACTTGTTTACCTATATGAATAAAGCTATTTTGAGTTTGAGTTTGAAGTTATAAATAAAAATTATCTGTCGTTTAACCACGCTAGATTTTTCATTAACTGTGAACGAAAGGTTTAAATCATATGGAAAAAAATATAGTTGTAAATTATATGTTGATTTTTGAATGAAACAATATTAATGGTGTACGATTTTTTTCAGGCAAGTACAAACTCCTGAAGACGATAGGGAAAGGCAACTTCGCAAAGGTGAAGTTAGCCAAGCATGTGCCGACAGGTAAAGAGGTGGCCATCAAGATCATAGACAAGACTCAGCTCAATCCTGGCTCACTACAGAAGTTATTTAGAGAGGTATTACTTATTTAGTTAATAATCTAGATTTAACTTACAATTGTAAGGGCTAGTTGATCTAGTTCTTAGGGTAGGAAATTAAACACTCCAATGATGACTTGATTCACTATATTTCACTTCACTGATTTTACGTAAACTGTCTAACTGCAAACGTGAACAAAGGAATTGCCCGTGCGTATGTGTTACAATCTCTTTTATTCCCTACTCCGACTCGACCATCTCACTTCGGGCAGTTGTTCGAGTCAATTCATAAACAACGTACGTAACATACGCACTTGTAGCAAGATTCTTAAGAATATGTTTCATAAAAAATGTTTAGAATTTAATTAAATAAATATTAAAAGCTAACACAATGTACTCATAAAAAGTTTTATGGATGTGATTGTAAAGTTTTTTATTATTATTAATATTGTTACATAAAATTTCAGGTGCGGATAATGAAGATGTTGGATCATCCAAATATAGTGAAACTTTTCCAAGTCATCGAAACGGAGAAGACATTATATTTAGTAATGGAATATGCATCCGGTGGTGAAGTAAGTAAATAATTAATATATATATATGTGTAAAGGGAGTATTTTGTGAATTTATAATAAAATATTTAATTCTGATATAAAGAAATATGTTAGTAGGTACCATTCATCTAGGAATGCCAATGGTTAAAATTCAAGTTAGATTAAAATAATAATTTTAAATACCCTTAATATACAGATTCAACAAAAGTTAAATAAAAATTAGATATTTGAAACTTGTTACGTTTTTAAATTTCGTCGTCCCGTCCAGTAAAATTTTTCATTGACATAAAACTAATAACAAATTTGTTAACATGTTGTACCTAAAACTTTCAAGAATTTTTATTAATTGTATTATTTCAGGTGTTTGACTATTTAGTCTTACACGGACGTATGAAAGAGAAGGAGGCCCGCGCTAAGTTTAGACAGATTGTCTCCGCGGTACAGTACTGCCATCAGAAACGGATCATTCATAGGGATCTCAAGGTATATCTTCTAATAATCCAGCCTTTTGTCCATGTGCCTATCGAAAACTAGCTTATACGGTGAAGGAAAATATCGTAAGGCGGTTTCTTTTGACCCAATATGTCAGGTAATAATCACGAAACATATGGAAATCTGAGGCCAGGACCAAGGGTTGTAGCTTCACTGGATTTTTTTTATTAAGTACAAGTGGGATAGGTTTGAAACAGTATTGTATTTAAAAAAAAAATAGTTTAGAATAATTAAACGGACATGAAATAGGTATTTACCTATATTATATATGTCCGGTTCAGAAAGGCGTGGATATCCATACATTAAAAACTATTGAACCGATTTTATTGAAATTTCGATCTTTCCCTGGTTGGAATATACCTATACATGTATAATATTAAGATTTCAAAAGAAGTCTTTTTAGTTATTTTAAAATAATTTGGTTTATATCTTTGCCTTCCCTTTTTTACTGGTGGAAATTTAGCAGAATTAAAAAAATATGAAAACGAATTTCAGGCGGAAAACCTACTGTTAGACGGCGAGATGAATATTAAAATAGCCGATTTTGGTTTCTCGAACGAGTTCACTCCGGGAGCGAAGTTGGACACGTTTTGTGGATCACCACCCTACGCTGCTCCAGAGCTTTTTCAAGGTATTATTTACATTTCAATTCATAGAATAATTTATTTTCCACTAAGGGTCGATTCGACCAAACTTCAATTTATACACGAGTAACTATACCAAGAATAATCTATTCCATGATTTTAATCTCGAGTAAATCCATAGTCGTTTGTCCACGTAATCGATAGTATAATTGCGCTAGGAATAACAATACGCGAATAGCAAGAGAATGGTGAACGAAAATAAAACTCGGCAAATAAATGTTGTTCTACAACGGGACAGTGTAAGAGCATACATCATTATAACTCGATTTTGCCGTATTATAGAGTGAAAAAGTAGCTTTTAACAGGTGTCAAACGGCAACAAAAAGTTTTTATTTCTTGTTTGTTTGAGGCTTTTGTCTAAAAAGGAACTTCTGTTGAGCCTAGTTGAATTTCATTCTAATATTATAGAAAATAAAAAATCTAAAAATAAATAAATAAGTAATAAATTGTTTAAACGTTTCATTATACAATGCCAGACTATTAATTTAGTGCGTTGCGTTGACTTGAAATTAAAACACAGAATACATATTTGTGAAATGACAGAAATCAGCTGATTGGACTGACTGACGCCATTAAATTATTCTAGGAATAGCTGTTATTCCGTGCGAAACGGCGGTATAGTAGCTATTCCCGAATAAGCCCACTATTCTTAGAATTTGTAGTTGGTAAAACGTAAAATTGATTTACTCTCGATTAACTGACGATTTATTCTAAGATTAAGATTTACTCTTGTTTGGTCGAATCGGCCCTTAAACTTACAAATATAATGTATACCTTCATTCAATGTCCAGTACCGTCCAGCTATTCGACTGTTTCACTTCGAGGCTCTTAAGAAACTTTTTATTATTATTATTTTATTAATTGAACGATACAATAATTTGGACTTAAACCTAATCGAAAATTGTCTGACACAATATCATAAAGAAACAAAGTTCCTTTTGTTGAAAAGCTCCGGTTATGAAATTCATTGTATTACAGTGAAGTTAATACATAAATCGTTTTTTAAATGTAAAATAATAAAAGCTCTTCAATATTTCAGGAAAGAAATACGACGGTCCGGAAGTGGATGTGTGGTCGTTGGGTGTGATTTTGTACACTCTGGTCTCAGGTTCGCTTCCCTTCGATGGATCTACGCTTAGAGAGTTGAGAGAGAGGGTGCTTCGAGGGAAATATAGGTATGCTATATTATATTGAGGTTAATTATTACTTCCCTACAATAATAGTTATTTTTAATATACTACTAGCTGACCCGGCAAACATTGTTTTGCCATGTATATTATTTCTAGGAATTTTTTTTTTAGTTCAATAAAAATAGCTATCTACTAAAATAAAAAATATGGGTTAGTCGTAGAGGGGTGAAAATTAAGGGTTGTATGTATTTTTAAATGCCACATAATAAAAATTAAAAATTTATCCAAAAAATTAAAACAAAATTTTGGGCTAAACACCTTATCACTCAGGGGTTTAAAAGATAGATAGAAGCCAATTCTCAGACTTACTGAATATGCATAAAAAATTCATAAGAATCGGTCGAGCCGTTTCGTAGGAGTATGGGAACGAACAATGTGACACGAGAATTTTATATATTAGTTTTAGACTATTTAAAAATTCGCCTAATCACGGGATAGGTATAAATCAATATTTGATGAATTTTCTTTCTATTATAAAAAATTAAATCGTTGAAACAACCTAGCCTATGCATTTTTGATAGATTAACTTAAAGGGAAATTATAAATGTTTTTCAAAATAAAAAAAAATAAATAATGATTTTCAGAATACCGTTCTACATGTCAACCGACTGCGAGAATCTGCTGAAGAAGTTCCTCGTGCTGAACCCGGCGAAGCGAGCCTCCCTCGAGAACATCATGAGGGACAAGTGGATGAACACAGGCTACGAGGAAGACGAGCTCAGGCCTTTCGTGGAACCGCAGCAGGACTTCAAGGACCATAAACGGATAGGTCAGTGGTGATGGTTTTATCGCATTTATTTATTTAAAATATTACATTTTCTATAATGGTGCTCCCACATTGCCGTTAGAAAATGTTTTCTAACATAAAAACTTTTACTAACAAATGTTGTCAATTGTTACATTTTGTTAGGAATTGTTTCATGTTACAAGTGCTCCTACAATAATAGAAAATGTTTACTAACATTTTATAACACTTAAATCTGGTATTGGCTCGCAGTTTGGTTTGCGTTCTGAGGGCGTCTACACGAAAATGGAAGAGGATTTGCTCACTGGAATAGCTTTCATTTTTTGTTTAAAAAAGAAGAAAAAACGCTCTTATTGGATGCGCCAAACGTTAAAAGCTACTGGAAAATATAGTGCTACAGACTATCTTTAATTTGTATTGTTATAATTTGTTAACTTGTTACTAAACATTTTCTAACATGAAAACATTTTTTAACATTTGTAATAAAATGTTTGCTAACAAATGTTTATTAACGTTACTAAACATTTTCTAACGGCAATGTGGGAGCACCTTTAGACCACAAGACAACATATATTAACCATAATTTAAAAAACACATGAAATAAAAAACTATTATGTTTGTATGAATAGGGCTCTTTGTAAACAAGTCAGTATAGATGGAGTTTTTTAGAAGTTCTTATAACATCTGTACGACACGATCATACATAATTTGAAATATTCTGTATGTTCATCTATCCGTCTGTGTGGGGATTTTGAAGCTAAGTTAGAATCTTTGAAAATTGTTCACTGTTTTTATTTGAAAGTATTGAATTTCCCCGAGCTTTGCGTGCTTTATAGAAAGTATTACTGAAAAATATGAAGGTATTAGCAAAAGAGATTGCCAAGGATCAAGGTTTCGGTTTGAAAGATTTTTATATTTGATTCAATTGTTTGAATAATCACAAAAAAATACAATGTCTATATAATTAGTTTTCAATAATTCATTATGTATGTAATTTCCACCTGATCTATTAAATTATGCTCACTCACACATACTATGCTAACAGCGAGTTTAATTTCATTCACATTTTATCGTTCCCTTATGCTTCACTAACGCTTTCACATTGCTAAGATACATAAAGTGTTTTATGCTCGGCTAAACTCAAAATAACTAAACAATACCCAAAAATTACTCTTAGAATATTTCCAAAACGTTTTATAACCTAATCATGCAAAATGTCATTTAAAGTTGACATTTCTCTAAACTACTTTTTTAATTTAATGACAGTATGAGATATTGTATTTTTGTGGTTTTGCTAATTCAAAAATTGAGATATTCAATCATTTAATATAAACTATAACGCGATATTCTATTCCCACTTCAGCTACAGTTAACTTGAATTGTCATAATTTTTGGAACGATTCTTCGAGTTTTGTTGATTTTTCTAAACATTTTCAACACACAAGCATATAACATGTATTTGATGATATTTCTTGTATTTCATGCGTGCAACGTATACGGGCACAGCGCAAGTTGGTACGTTCACGATCTCCATATAAAATACGTGGTCGTGATATTCTGTCTTGTTTTTCTATTTCTATTAACTAAATAACTTATAATGAGCTTTTAGCTGTTTTTTATTTAAGAATTTGTTTAAATGATTCGGTATCGGATGACCTTTGCGTTTTACTTTGTGTTATTGTATTTTCATTTATGAAAAAGGTTTTACACGCTCATTTTAAAGTTATTTATGTTATAGTGATAATGATACAGGACCGAAGTTAAATGTTGTTTCTTTATTTTACCAGCCTAAGCACTTTTGCTTTGTTATTTTTTTAGCTAATGCATGATTTTTGCCTTAAGCTGTTTCAGGTAGGTTCAAGTAAGTCTGGATTGTAAAATTATTGAATTTTATCTACAACAGTTGCAATAATAGATTCTCAAATAAGATAAATATTTAATAGTTAGTAAACTATAGTAAAGACCCTATCACTAGTCCCAATGTTGTAATAGAATTTAATATTTAAATATTAGTATGTCTTTATTGTTATTATTATCACGTAGCATTACTATTAATTTGATTCAATAATATTAATTCGTGTTCTAATCATTTCAGAGGCATTAGTGTTGCTAGGTTACAACAGGCAAGAAATCGAGTACTCGTTGGCGGAAGCGAAATATGACGACGTATTCGCTACTTACCTGCTTTTGGGGAGAAAAAGTACAGATGTGAGTAATTAATAGCTATTCAATTTTTTTAAATAGATCAATTACTAAATAGATTAATTTACTTGATCGATTTAAATTAAGATAGTAAAGTAGATCAAGAAATATATTTTGTGTCTTTCACCTTTGTGACTGAGAAATTACACAGAAATAAAATTTGCTTAATTGTCGAAATCCAAATCAAGTATGCATTTTTTATTCGTGTTATTTTTTATACACTTTTGAACGTTAATTGGTCGGCTATCATTGACGTGCTTGATTCAAACAGTTTTATGAATATATGAACTACTCACAATACTAAAAAACACCTAATCATTTTTTTATTTCCTAATTTTCAGCCGGAATCGGATGGGAGTCGATCGGGATCGTCTTTGTCTTTGCGGAACGCGGCAGCCCCGCCCAACTCTCAACAGCAAACGGGGAACGCACATGCAGGTAAAAACACGTAACTAAATGAACATAGTGAAGTGAAGAAAACTTCAACTTTGACAATTCCTTCAAATGCCCTCTTCTAGTATGGCAATAAATGTTATTAGTATCAGAAGAAAATGGCCATGGTCGTGTGATATGAAATAATTTAATAATAAAAATTAAGGAAGGACAAATAACCATAGAGTATAATCTATATGATATGAAACTGACGAATAGAATCGCCTTAAAGATAACATACTCACAAAATAGCGCCATGTATACTCGCTTAAGGGTTAATAAATACAAATAATTGGGGCTTTTTATTTCAGGGCTATAGCTTATCTAACAGGGCTGACTATATGCCGTGACGTGCTCTGACATCTGTCAAATGCGAGTGACATTTGACAGATGTCATCGTCATGGAATATTGGACGTAGGCGTTAGATATCATTTGAGGTCCATTTGTTAATTTTGGGCTGGCAATTAAATGGATTAATTTTTACATCCAATTGATTGTTAGCGACTATGCTTTTTATTTTTCTGTGTATATTATGTGTGCTTAAACGTGCCGTACACCCATCATAGAACTTGTGTCGTGCGTTGTAACTTTGATTTTTCCGTTTTAACTAATATCGTGTCTTAGGGATGATGTCGGGACGGTTCTTATTTCTATTCTGTATTGGCGAAGTAATTGGAGATTTTATTGTTATTTAAATGGGAACATTAAATTATTTACCACGATTTAGTGAAATCGATTCGGTATTCGAATTTTTTGTAATTTATGATTTCGCACGATTTCAAGTGTCTTTATATGAAATGAGTTTGTGAATGGTCTTGGAACCTTTTTCACTTTGATCTTTTAGTGCACGGGTGTGAAATGTTTTATTATTAGTATTTTCTCAATGTGTAGTATGTCGTTTACGATATCTTACCTGTGTTGTATTCAAATGTGCAGTTTCCTATCTTAAGTCTATTTCAGCAGGATTCTAGTTGGAGTGTAGCCCTTAAGGAGAATGGATGTTGTCTTTGATTGATAGTTTCGTTGCCCTAGGTGAACCAGACGTCATTCGTTAATTGTCGACTGATTTGTTTATTTTTGAGCATTAGGAATATGGGAGCGTTCAAGTATTACGTCACGCACACAGCCCATCCCCCCCACACAAGAAATATGAAGGTGCAGAAAAAACAGAATCTACCCCAGGGGGTACCACACGCGCTCGCGGTGGAGACCCCCCTCTGGGCGTCCACCACCGGGACACTCAGCACCCGGTGGTGGACGCCCAGGCTGCCCTTCGTATTCTGGGGGGGCAATTCTGCGCTCTACAAAAATAGTAATCGTCCTCGGGGCAAACGGAGCAATTATACAAAGGCACCCCCGTCCACACTCGCCGTGGACTTCACAAATGTTAGGGGGCTTAATTCTAACATCAACGCTGTCCACTATCATCTAGAGACTGCGAAGCCGGCCTTGCTCTTTCTTACCGAGACTCAGATATCCTCCCCGGCTGATACTTCCCACCTATCCTACCCGGGGTACAAATTGGAACATTCATTTGTGCCGCGGGCTGGAGTTGGCGTGTACGTCAGAGAGGATATCTGTTCTCGTCGCCTCGTGGACGCTTGAAGGAAGGGACCTATCTAACCTCTGGCTGCGCGTAGACTGCGATGACCATCCGCGATTCTACGCATGCCTGTATAGGTCCCATAGCGGAAATACCGAAACTGACCGACTCATTGAGCACATCCAAATGGCTACAGATTCCCTGCTCGAAAGGGTTCCTACCGCTGAAATCGTGATACTTGGCGATTTTAACGCCCACCATGCCGATTGGCTCGGCTCTGAAACCACCGATCACGCGGGAAGATCCTTTCACGACTTTGCTTTAGCCTACGACCTGACACAAATGGTCCCTGCGATTACGCGAATACCAGATGTGGATGGTCATAAACCCTCTTTGTTGGACCTTCTGCTGACTTCTCATCCGGAGAACTATCAAGTCTCTGTTGACCCGCCATTGGGTTCATCAGATCATTGTGTGGTCCGGAGTACTGTGCCATCTACGCGCCCTTCACGGCCACGCTTTATGGGTTGTCGCCGTATTTGGCACTATAAGTCAGCAGATTGGGACGGGATGCGGTCTTTCTTTGCGTCCTACCCTTTGGGGCCTATGTGCTTTTCGCCGGAAGCTCCAGATTCCGTCGCCGCCTCTGTCGCCGAAGTGGTTCTGCAGGGCATGGAACTCTTTATTCCATTTTCTGCGGTGCCGATCGGTGGCAAGTCTCAGCCCTGGTTTAAACGTTCTTGCAAGGCGGCCTCGCGTCGAAAGCGAGAATGCTTTAAGGCATGGGCGGAAGCGGCGAAATCTCGTGATGCCAATACCAGCGAACTTAAAAAAGCATATAACTCAGCCTCCAGGTCCTTCAAACGGGAAATCACTAAGGCAAAGTCAGAGCACATTGCCAGATTTGGCGAGAGATTGGCCCAACTCCCATCAGGGACTCGAGCCTTCTGGTCTCTCGCCAAAGCTGTCCAAGGGAATTTTTGTCAGCCCGCCATTCCGCCACTGCACAGGGAGGATGACTCTCTGGCCCACACTGCGAAGGAGAAGGCTGACCTTTTGGGCTGTCTCTTCGCGTCTAACTCGACTTTGGATGACCGAGGGAGATCACCACCGACCATTTCGCGGTGTGATTCTTCGATGCCGGAAATCACATTCCGGCAACGTGCTGTCCGCAAAGCACTATCTTCCTTGGACATTCATAAGTCGAGCGGGCCGGATGGTATCCCCCCAATTGTGCTGCGTACTTGTGCTCCTGAGTTGGCTCCGGTCTTAACGCGCCTTTTCCGGTACCTGTACTCGCTCGGCACTGTCCCGAAGTGCTGGAAGACCGCTTTGATACATCCGATCCCTAAAAAAGGCGATCGCTCTGATCCGTCCAACTATCGCCCAATAGCTATAACCTCCTTGTTCTCCAAAATAATGGAAACCATTATTAACAGCCAGCTCTTGAGGTATCTAGAGGGCCACCAGCTGATTAGCGATTCTCAGTACGGCTTCCGTCGTGGTCGCTCGGCTGGTGGCCTCCTTGTATACCTTACACATAGATGGGCAGAGGCAATTGAGTCCAAGGGGGAGGCGCTAGCGGTTAGTTTGGACATAGCGAAAGCCTTCGATCGGGTGTGGCACAGAGCACTGCTCTCGAAGCTTCCAGCCTATGGGCTTCCCGAGAAATTACGCAATTGGATCTCCAGCTTTCTGGCCGATCGGAGCATCAAGGTCGTCATCGACGGAGCATGTTCCGACCTAAAACCCGTAAACGCTGGGGTCCCACAAGGCTGTGTTCTATCCCCGACCCTATTTCTTCTGCATATCAATGATATGTTGAAACTTAGCAACATTCATTGCTATGCGGATGACAGTACTGGGGATACTTTTTACACTGGCCGGGCAGGTATTTCTCGGGCAGTTGTTGATGAGTACCGGAACAAACTTGTGTCTGAAGTTGAAACTCTACTTCGTGGAGTCTCAGATTGGGGCAGACAAAACCTAGTCCAATTTAACCCCAAGAAGACACAAATTTGCGCGTTTTCCGCTAAAAAAACACCCTTTGTCGCTACTCCTCTTTTCGAAAACACTCTTCTTAAAGCCACAGCCAGCATTGGAATACTTGGCGTTGACATATCGAGCGACGTTCAGTTTCGCGGTCACTTGGAGGGAAAGGCTAAATTAGCCTCCAAAAAGCTTGGTGTGCTCAGCAAGGCGAGACGGTACTTCACTCCGGGCCACCGCATGCAACTATATAAAGCGCAAATTCGGCCCCACATGGAGTACTGCTCTCACCTCTGGGCGGGGGCTCCCCAGTACCAGCGCCTTCCACTTGACCGTATACAACGCAGAGCGGTTCGAATCGTTGACGACCAATCCCTCTCCGAGCGGCTTGATCCTTTGGCGTTGCGTAGAGATGTGGGGTCACTCTGCATCTTCTACCGCATTTACCATGGAGAGTGTTCAGAGGAGTTGTTCGGATTAATACCTGCAGCTGAGTTTCATCATCGGACGTCGAGGCAGAATACGAAATTCCACCCGTATCACCTCGACGTCCGACGTTCCACAACTGAGCGTTTCTCAAGGCAGTTTTTGCCGCGCACCACCACTATGTGGAACCAGCTGCCCACTGAAGTATTCCCGAACCAATTCGACTTAGGGTCCTTCAAGAAAAGAGCGTACCAATTTTTAAAAGGCCAGCAACGCACTCGCGAGCCCTCTGGCATTGAGAGTGTGCATGGGCGGCGGTATCACTTAACATCAGGTGAGCCTCCTGCCCGTTTGCCCCCGTTCTAAAAAAAAAAAAAAAAAAACGCAATTTTTGGAGATTATTGAAAACCCCTATGTAACGCGCCGTAACGTTATTCTGTACCCAAGTATAGTAAATTTATTTATTACTTTATACCTAAAAGTTACCATTATGTGGTGTAAAGTACTGCAAAGTCGAAAATAATATTACAATAACGCGTAATTCAATCCCCGCCCCGCACCGTAACGTAACGTTTTACAAAAGGACCCCCCTATATTCATTACGTAATACTTTGAACGCTCCCTATTGTTATCAGAATATTTTTAGTGTTGGCAGTCAGTCACCATTGGTTACACGTTTGATTTCTGTTAGGACACTCGTTTAGATCGCAGTGTTATTGTCCAGCCGGTAAAGTCGTTTGAGGGCATCGTGTAGTTCGTTGAGTATCGTGGTTTGTGGTGTACGCGGTCTGTAGTGTGGTGTGGTACAGGCGCGGCGTGCGGGTCTCCGTCCCACCGAGGGGTGCAGCGCAGCATCTCGGCCAGCGCCAGGCCTGCCGCGTCGCGCCGCGCCTCTTCCGGCGCGGAGGTCTTGCGCGCGCAAGGTAATGCCCACCTCCCTCCTTTTCACACTTCTAGCACTTAGTATTTTTCATTATTTCCATTTTCCATAACTTACGATTTCCCATCGCTAACCATAGCTAATGTAGTTAGAACTACTTACGACTAGTCACTTCACTACTTACCATTTCGAGAAACACGGCTGATGATCATAATTTAATGTTATTTTACTAAAAACGTTATAATTAGTAGTTTCTTTTTTAGTTTAAAAAAATTAACATTTAAGACGCCCACACTCTGTTAAACGTTTATGTGAAAACATACACATCTATATATTTACATTTTACAAAGACTATCTACCTGTTCCCGAATGATCCATTATTATTTATGTATAATGCATGTTTATGTGGCTTTTCGTTGCATGTCTATATATTTGGGGCATTTATGAAATGAGTGTTTTTCTTGTGCTTCCTGGACATTTATTTGTGGATGCTTGGGAATTAATTTAATTATTACATTACATTGCCATTGGAATACGATACGATTAAGGAAGCCATGACAAAGAAAATATATATATGATAATCATATAATAGGAATAAACAGCAGTGCTACTAAAATAATATTCCGAATATAATATGACTTTCTTTAATGTCCAATTGTCAATCTATGGTTATGTTAATTAAATGTTTAAGTGGCTTAAGTAACGGTTAACTTATAAAACTGATTAAGACTGCTTTGAATTGTTTAAGAGTCGCTAAGTTTGAAATTAACCTTAAAGTATGTTACACTATTGCACTTTAGATGTTTACTCACTAAAGACTTTCCTATTCTTGTGTTAAATGATGCATGAGTTCTATACCCTCTCTTGAGCATACCTTTTACTGTCATCATGAATGCATGTTGGAGTATCCATAGCATTGTCACAATTCGACGGATGGACCCGATGATGAAATCATCGACATATTTACTCATATTAACTTTTTAAGATTCTTCACTTCTTGCGACTAGGAATTAATAGAAATAACGGATATATCACAAATGCTTTTGAGAGGGTATTCTATGTATTTGCTTAGTGATCTAACAATTTTTGCGCTACCTGTTCATTGGGATCAAAATATAGATTTTGTGAGACTTTATAACAATTAAAAAAAAATCATTTCAAGTACGTTAATCATTGGCTAGAAGCACTTAAAAATGTTACAAAGTATTGCTTTAGTGCAAATTCTCATGTGAACAAATAGCACGTTAACATGTATCTTGCTTTTAAAAGTCGTGTGTTTGACATTTCCCATAACTACGAATAACGAATCGTTGATGACTTCAATAAATGTTTGTTTACATTAATATAAGTTTTAGTGCTACATAATACGCGATTTAGTATTAAAAAAATTAAATGATCGTTTATTCGTTGATTATAGGGATAGTAACGAGTAGTGTGTGATTTTAATTTCTGGCTTTCAGTTGGTACCACCACCAGTTCAGCAAACAACACCACGTCTACGGCGACCACAACCACGTCCAATTTCAAAAGACAAGTAAGTTTATCGAATTTAAAATGATATAGTGCATATTATTGCGCCTATATTCGAGACTTTATCGTATAACTATTTGCCTTCCTTCGCATAGATACAACATTTTCAATTCCTCCTTCAGTGTCATTACCGTTTCGGTCTGACTAAATGTACCCACAGATGTATTTTACAGAGAAACTAAAAGAATGTTATGTATTTTCAGAACACAATTGACTCGGCTTCAATCAAAGAAAACACGGCTCGTATTGCTCAGATGCAGGTAATATTGACTTTCTGCTAATTCAAAGTTAAATATTTTATTAATGCTACTTAAACTCTCGAAGTCAAAGCCAGGTATTTGGATAATGTCAAGATATCACAGCTCTTGTTTGATATGTTTATTATGGAACATAAGATACATATATCACTTATTCCACGTCGAATTTGTAGGCATCCCTACTCATCGGCAAAAAAGACAGAGGGTGTAGGCCGAGAGAAAAAGCCGGCGTAAAAAACTCTCGGTACTCTTTTAGTAAAGTGTAACTGTTTTTTTTTTACTTTTTACTCTCATAGCCTAACGTTGAATTAGTTGAGTTTCTCGTCCTTGTCTTGGATGTTGGATGACATCGTTATTTTTTCTAGAATAAAGTTCGACTGTCTAGACAAAAGAGAGCCTATACAATAATTATGGATTTAATTTTACTTAAAACTAGTGCATACCTTAAACTAAGATAATGTTTGACACTATGTTCGTATGTCCGAGATATCGCACTTGCACTTATATTGACTAGATTTATTAACTACAAAAGGTTTAGTTCTCTTTAGGCATCTTATTCCTGTTGTATTAAGAAGTTTGATTGCCTCAGAATTCACATCGCTATGTAGCCCGTTTAAGTGTCCACATTAAGATTGTGGATACTTTCATTTATTACTTTTAGTAATAAGTTATATATATATAAAAGTTCTTCTAATGGTTCTTTATTGTAACTTTTTAAATTAATTTATATCTTAAACTGTTTATATTCATATTTTTAGGTAAAATTTGTTAACCGTCACTTCAAGTTTGTATGTGACCATAAACAATCAGTTTAGGCCAATTTTTGTTTAACGTTGGTTTGGTTGGTTGGGTGTATGTCTTAATTTTAAGCAAATATTAGTTTTTCTTTCAACGGTGAATAATGTACATAATGTCAGGTACAGAACACGGCGCGGCCGACGTCAGCTCAGCCGAAGTTAGAAGCGCGCTCGCGCACGTTAACCGGACAGACGAGACGTACGCAGTTTGATCATACGCACACGCCCGCCAAGTTATCGCCTCCACAGGACACGCCCAGGTTAGCTTTTTATTAAAATAAAATTTAATGTAGGTATAGGCAAATTATTGTGTAGGTGGATGATTTTATTGATTATCAATATTTTAATAAATAAAGTATTATAAGCATAGAATCGATAGATTTTGAGGCATAGACAAGATTTATGATAAAAACTCTAGCGTTAGAAAAATTTTATGCACTGTTGTGTTGCCGACCGTATAATTTAGACATTTTGTTTAACCAATTTATTTATCGTTTATACATTTTGTTTGCACATTATATACCACTACACACTTTATCCTATGTACTTTATAATTTGTATTTTATTTAAATATTATTTTGTATATATTTATTTAAACAAAGTAGCATGTAACCCAACGCATGCGAGGGGGGGTTGAGGTACTAACAGCATGCATTGAAACAGTGCGACGCAAACGGACGGCAAAACCGGCGCGACTAACGGGCAGACGATCGTGACGAAAACTCACGTTAAAAGCGCTTCTATCTCTTCGAGTACCGGCGCAACGCCCTTATCAGCTGACACCTCGCATAACGCCTCAGCCAGGGATTTAGCTCAGCCACGGCCGAGGTAAACTTAGGAGAAAATGTTTTATGAAATATAATATATAGGACGTGCTCGTATATTACAGATTTATTTAGAAATTTTTTCAATAACACGCAATATAATATTTTTCTTTGCCTCTTCACAAATTTCATCACGTGATCGAATTTTGAATGATATACAAGACTCGGAATCCGCGCGTAAACCACGAACAGTACGGAAATCGTATACAATAATCAAATAGAATAGAAATAATATCATTTATATGTAAACTGCAGCAAATGTACGTTAGAATTCCTAATACGTGTCAACGTATTCGAACGCACCCACGGCGACTTTTGTTGTACTAATGTTTTTTCAATTATAATATTTCTTACAGCTCAAGATTTAATCGTTGTTTTGCGTGAACAACATTGTCATTGGTAAAAAATTCGTAAATTTGTTCGTTCGGTGGACACAACTATGTATAGTATTACTATAAATTCCTTTTTTATAAACTTTCATACAATAATAAATAATAATAACAAAGCCGGCACTCCAGTCCCGATGACCCGTCGAATCTGCTTCGTCTCTCTCCAGCTCGTTCGCCCGAAATCATTCGCCCAATATAAAACTAAAGATTGTTCGACGTTACATCCTACCAAAACCAAAAGCAAAAATATTATACTTTTTTTTAAAACAAAAATAGTAGTTATATTTACTAGATTATATACGAGGAGTCCTTTTATATTATATTTCCCTCAATATTAGTTGAATGTACCATTCATTATAATCCCTATGTATACTAATTATTTTAATAATTAAATTGTTAACTTCTAAATGGTACATTCAAGTTCTATTTGAGCAATTTATTTTTAGAGTGGCGAATAAGTGCACGCGATTTTTTAGTTTGTTTTTTATGAGGTTTTTTTATAGTTTTTAATGTAAATCTTTATTGTTTTTTAATTTAAATATTGTCGACGATGAAAGTGAGGGATTGATGCCCTTTTATCTAGACTTTGTATGAAACTTGCACGGAATAAATTAAAGCAAAATAAAAAAACCTTATTTACGATCGAGGACAGTGTTTCCCAACGTGGGTGAAATTTGATTGTTAATTTATTAAAACTATTTGGAATTAGAATTTAAGTTTTTCATTATAATATGTTTTACTTAATTGTTTCGTTAAGAATTTCCTCATAATTTATTCCTAAAAAGGAAAATGTGTGATAGGTATCATTTATGCTTCTTTCATTTAACGATTTTTTTTAATTAAAACTTGTGTATGTTGAATGGGGGGGGGGGGATAAGATTTTTAGTAAGGCAAAGGTGCATGGGACGAAAAAAGTTCAATAACACTGATCTAGACGAATGATTGAGAACTTTCTTTGCTATTTAATATTTAAATAATTCCCCTAGCTGAAGATCTTTTATTATCTTCAAATAAATATTTCCGTGCATGTTTAATATTATATCTTAGATTAGTTGCTTTGTACTAAGCACTTTTGTAAGGCACTATGCTTTTTTTTATTTTGTCAAATGTGTCAAACACAACGCTTCAGGTTTTCTTTCTACACAGATTTTTGTAACCTTATTTCGTTGTAGTTAATATTATATTTTGTAGACATTAGTTAAATATATAAGCGGTGATGGATTTTTTAATAGTTAATGCAATGTTTTAAGAACTTGTGATCTAGTTAGATTTTGGATTAAGATCTTGTCCGTTTATGTTCCGTTTTAAGCAGACATTTAGCTTGATTTTTAGAAATTACGTTGTATTTTTGTGTATATATAGTAGCAAAGCTGACATGCAGTGTTCATTTTATTAATAATTTTAAATGTAACGAATGGTGAAATGTGTAAAAAAAATAATTATAGAATACTTTTACTAATTGTATTTTAGTGTTTTTATTGTTTGGTTTGGCATGTGTAGTTTAGATAATATTAATGATCCGATTCTAGTATCTTAGCAACGATAGGACTGCATACAATTTGATCTTTAAAAAATCTGCTGCGTAGCAATCAGTTGTGATATGAATATTGATTACTCTTAAATTGTTATTGTAATTCTATCGAAGTTAATATTCGAATCGAAACCTTTTGTTAAAATTAAATAATTGTCTCCACTGCGACGACTCGCAGTATTTTTTACATTATACAAACAGTTTTCAGTACACTGTATAACTTACACGTATTTCTATTTTTTTAAATATTTATTCTATTATTTCCTATATATATATACACGTACAAGAAATACCAATGATTTACCTTATATACGTAATTTTAATGTTTATTTATTTTATAATACAATCATATAATACAAATACAACATTGTAACTATTAACAGATTTTATAATATATAACGTATATTTCAGTATAAATTCAACAATGACAACCACGGTTGGTGCAACTGGTGGTGCGGCGAATGCAAGCGCGCGGCGAGATTTTCCTAATCCAATGGTTTTTCCTAGGAATGTGCCCTCAAGGTCCACATTTCATTCGGGTAAGAAATAAAAGAACCTAGAGCTATTTTTTTTTAAAATAAATATGCATATTTAATTAAATCATTATTAGTTAAAAACAACGAAAATGAAACATAAATAAATTATTTAAAAGTATATAATAAGTTGACTAAAATTTGACGGACACATCCGAATACTATTTTATGTTAAGGGCCTCATAGTCTAGCGTGTAAGTGTTCGCTAGGTGAGGGGTATCGGGTTCGATGCCCGGTAGCAGCGCAATTTTTTTTTTAAATTTAAATTTGTTCTCTGCCCTTGAGAGGGTTGGGCTGTACCTGGCGAGTGCTTAAACCGTAATCTTTGATTTTCTTATTTGTTGAATTCGTCATCAGTAATTATTTACTTCTTTACACATATTGTCTATGCTTGAAAACGAAATGCATTTTCGAGGGTTCCTATAAAAAATTAATACTTTTATGTTTATTAAACTAAAGTAAAATTAAACTTTAGACCGTCCTTGTATAGAATACTTGTTTACTATCAATAAAACATAAAAAATTAAAGTGTAAATTTCGCAACGAATAATAATGAAAATGAAATAATAAATCGTTCCAGGTCAAACCCGATCTCGCGGTGGAAGCGCGGGAGGCGCTTACGGCGACGGAGGTTCCCCTCACCAAGCTCGACCTTCCTTCTTCTCGAAACTCTCCTCAAGATTCTCGAAACGGTAAGTCGTTTTACCATTTCTAATGTCACATTAACACTTTGACACATGTACATGTCGTTCTGTCACTTCTATCAGACACTTTATTAATTAAATTAATAACAATTTTTCTTATATAATAATGATTCATTCAATATACTGTGATTAAACTGATTAGAAATCTACTATTTATGATACTTTGGTTAATAACGTATATATATTATTTTAATCTTCTAAATTTGATACTATATTACACTTGTCTCACTAATATCGCTATAGGTATGTTAACTAAAGCTGGCGGCTTCAACACATTTACACTTTGTGCTTGTGTAGTGTCTGTGAATAAGCGCGAGACGTGATGTCAAACTGAAATACAATCATAAATACATCATGAATAGACTGTCCGTCGTGTATGAGTGGACTAAAATGTATAGCATGGCAAAAAAATCATATTTTGAAACATACTGTATGTGAAATTGCATTAGTGTGAGTACTGTGAACCCGCCAGCTTTCGATAACCGACCTATACTTACAACACACTTACACTTTTGTATGCAATTTTCAATCTTTAATTTCTTCTGAAAGTTTCATCATAATTTTCACAATCGCTTCAGCTTAAAGGGAGTGGCTTTTGTATTTAACGCCTTGTTTATAATTGAAAATGAAATAAAAGCCACTCTGTTTATATAATAGCCCCTTTCATTGCCTTGCATCAATGTTAGCAAGCTTTCGCACTATCACTGTATCACACGAACAAAGTAAATAATTCCTTATGTATTTAAGCCAGTTGGGCATGTATATTATGATTTGTTTTAAAAAGGGTTGTGGAAAGAGACTTATAGTTGAGCTTCTTTGACTTTATTCAAAAAAGCTCGCTTTTCCTTATGTAAATAACGACACGGAACGTAACACTGTATGTCACCGTCACAAAGATTAACCATACGTTTTGTCTCTGCCATCCGTCATTTGTTTTTTTTTATTTAAATGTTTTATTCGAATTGTCTCCCTCTAAATATTCCGAGCTCCGTTTTTGTTCTGTTTTATTTGGTCTCGCGTCATTAGGGGATGCACGATGCTAATTTTCTCCCTTAACGTACGCTCGTGTGCGTACGACACTTGCAGACACCATCGTAGCCTTGGCGACCCGAATAGCGGTTAGCGAAGCATGCTGTATTGACGTATTACCCGTTCGAAATGCTGTTTTCTATACTCCGATTTTTAATTCCATAGAATTCTGACAGCTATCATTTTTTGACATGTCAGAGATGGCAAACCTTTTTGGCCGGGCACATTTTTCAATTTCAATACGAGTCTGAACATCTGAGTCTATATATACATTTTATTTGTTAGTGAATGTATTCATATTATTAAGTGCAGTGGAATTAGTAGGCAGTAATGCCAGCTAAAGAATAAAATAAAATAATTAAAGTTAATTCCATATGTTGTCCGTGTTATTGAAATATTTGTTATTTTTGTATTAGGTCACTTGAGTAAGTATATATTAAGATTTACCTTTTTGTAGCTACATTTTATTTTTTATTGCCCTCAAATAGGTCAAATTTGTCCCTTTTTCGGTGGAGAACTTTTTTAGTAGCAACACTTATGAAATGTCAGAATTCTACGGAATGAAAAATCGGAGTATATTTATTTTGCGATTCGCTAAGGCATACGTAGACCGATGCCTCCGCTTTGATTGTTGTAGTGTAGTTTAAGACCCGTTCGACAGGAGGTGTACGGATTGTCGTGTCATTTCCGTCTCGTGCATCCCCGTTCGCGACGACCGATCCTAACCGTACGCTTCTAGCGATGAAGTCGACAGCTTAGTTTTCCACAACCCTTTAACAGTACCGCGGTTCACGAGGGAGTTAGTATTGTGCATCTTTGCGGCGCGAGATTTTTGACGTTTAATTGACAAGTGAGTGAATGAAACGAGCCGGAGTGCGAAGAGGGCGGCGATTGGATTTGATTCGGTCCTTTCGCTCACCCGTTCCGTTCTACGCAGGTTGAATCAGAACCCGTGATGCGCGACCGGCGAACGGCGAGAGAAGATTTCACATAGAGGAAATGTGTGCGGAATTGTTATTTTTAGTTTATAATAGTTAACTGTAGTTCAGCGTATTTTAATGTTGGTATTCGAAGACGCGACTCGGAGGTGTTCGGCTCTCAAAACTTGACTTGAGTTATGTCTTTGAATATTGCTCTTTTACTCATTTCGTTATAGGACTAGAAACGTACCCTTTATTGGAACAATAAACGGAAAATGTTTCGTGTTTTTATACAATGCGTGAGATTCACTATTTGTTACTACGGTGTTTTTTTTTCACTTTCGCACTTCATGAGGCAGCATTTAATTTTTAATTATAAACATGGATCGATGTAATATTGGTGTCACTGATTTTGAGGTACAAAGAATAACGTACTTGTAAAAAGTATTATAGACAAGTTTAAGGGTCTTTTGTGCACGAATTGGCACCAATTCTAATAAGTGATTGTTAATTTGAAGTGCAGTAAAGTGAGATTGAAGAGATACGCTGAACGAAAATATTATTAAAATCTTAAAAATGTTAACATTTTTTTTATATTTAGATGTAAGTTCACGTATGATTAACCCGTGAGAGAGTTGCGTTTATCATTTTTATTTGTCGCGACAACATTTCTGCCTATATTTTATATTATTAGAAAATGTTCTGTAAAAACAAAATATATCCAAAATATCATTATCCGTTCAAGTATTACGTAAGCAGATTTACTGCAATGTATCTCCCCCCTTCCCCTCTTGCAGCAAGTAAGCAAAGCTCTCAAAAATAAACATAAACGTATTGTATACAATGTGTGTCAAAAAGTAAATAATTACTGTTGACGTAAGCACCAAATAAGAAAATCAAAGGACCCCCTCCCCTCCCCCTATAGTTCTTACGTAATACTTGAACGACCCCTTAATGATTTGAATGATATATTATGTAGCGGAAAACTAGTCCCGTCGCGTTTCGCATTTCGTCGTAGCTCTTAAGAGATTCGATTTTTAAATAACGAATTTTTAACATTCCAGGGTTATGTTAAGGTTGACAATAGAAGCACAAATCATTTCTACCCTTTTGGGTAGCTCGTGACTGACTTGTGTAATTGACATCTCATTAAAATATCATTATTATGCCTTTCCTATATCATTTTAAATTCAGCAATTGGCCCTAGGGTCGTAGGTTTTCTATAAAAATTATTTTGTTACGTAATAGATTATGGATATTATAGCTAAACGTTTTGAGTGAGATAGTACGTAGTTGTAAGTTAAGACTCGGCCCGTTATTGGTACAAATACTCAGTAGGTGTTACCTTAATGATATCCGTATACGTATCTCCTTAGAATGGGCCAATGAATCATTTCATTAAAATTATCATTAAACCAAAATGGAACGTTCTGTAATGATTTAAGAGAAAGTGTTTTGACAATATCATTAGTACGTTTTTATATGGTTGGTTTATCAATAAATTATTTTTTTATTCATCAATCGAAAATTAAGACGAAATTATCGTATTTTTACTAATCACAATATCACTAGAAAATTTTTAAAGACATTATTTACTAGGATATAATAAAAAATAGTAACACTCTTCAAAGTCCATAGAGATTTGAGCGTTGTACATACATGTACGGGAATCGTATTTTTTTTTTGTATTATCTATGTTAAGATCATTCGTGTATATATTCATAGAAATACTTAATTTAAATTAAGAACAAAATAGCGTGTGTTTTTTTTCTTCATATAAACTGTGGTTGCAGTATAATTTTAATTTGTGATACATGAAACAAGAAATGCATAAACATGAATAGCTAAAAGTTTTATCAATAATATATTTTTTTGTTAAACAAAATTATTTTTATCCGTCCGCTATTATGGTATTATAATGATCAAATTGGCGTCACAGTTTCCGGTTTAATGCATTTAATTTCGTATACAGTGCTCATTCTGATATACTGCTTGATTAAAATGGCCGAAAATAAGGGTAAGTTTCGGTCGAATATGGATCAAAGTATGACTTCGGTCTGTCAAATAACGTTTTTGACATTTGGTAGTCACACTTATCAGTCTTGACTCTGAATCATACTCTTATTATTTGTCGTTTGCCGTTTACACTCGGGTTTAATATCCAGAATACGAGTTGTAACTGCTACGAGTCGATTCGTAGCGATTACCTGGCATTTAAACTGGGCGTTAATCAGTTTTCAGTTAACTAAAGTCACTCTTCGTTCCATATGCAAAATTTTACATTACGAAAGACTTTAGTTAAATCAGTTTAATAAGACTGCTTTAGTTTTTGTCTAGAGTATATCAGAATCAGCACTGATGTCTAAATGATACGTGTTAATCATATTTGTTAAATAAGTTAAACTTAATAAGAGAATTTTCTACTTTTTCCTGTCAAATAACAGGGTTACACAGCGCTTTTCAAAACGAAAACAGTTGATCGGGTTTTAATATAAAGTCATGTCTTTTATTAAATGATTTGGTTTATAAAAACAATATGAATTTATATTGAAATCACGCAAAAGTTTTTGCAAGCTGTTAACACCTGGAATATAGATTATTCAAGATTTGGCTGCTACTTTTGTCTTGATTAGTCTATGGGTAATTCAGAGACAGCGCGAACTGTGACACCCATTTGTCAAAATTTTGTACGGAGTCATATTTTGCGCTTGGACTTTAAACCCTTCAAGTTGGACCTTAATTTTAATAATTTTGAATTTAAGTGTGACTGTGAAATCAATGTTTTGTTAAGCAATATAATATGAGTGAATGTTCTGAATAATCAGTTTTTTTTAAATATAAAATGTGTTTTATTTTACGTATATCCTTATCTAAACACTTGCTAAAGGAAAAGGTAGCCCTGTTGACGGGTTATGCGAAATCCTTTTTTAATTCTATTAAATAAGTTATATAATCACCAGTCTGTCGGTGTTGGGCGATTCAACTGGACGTCAGAAACCACGAATTTTTTCCTCTCTGGATATACAGCGGAGGTATACGCGAGTCGTGTTTTGTTTTTATTTCTAACAGTTTTTAATTGTCTAACCCTGTATGGGGCATTTGTGGCGAACACAATGGACCTGATTTTTGAATAGACTTTTTTTTTTGTTGCCATCCCAATTAGACACAGCAATTCAATTACATGTTAATATGTAGAACGTTTGCAAGCGATTTATGTAAGGAATTGATTTTTACTACAGGCCACAAGTGATCCATATTGAATTGCATCTTGTTGAATTAAAAATACATAATTTGATAGTTTTCTAGTCGATTTCACATTTTAAATCTATATATATTTAGGGATTACGTCAATTCGTTTGTTATATACTTAATAAATTTACTGCAACGTATGTAATAGCATCTTGTCACTTTTAAATTATCTTTTTTTTATTATTAATTTAAATTTGTTTTATTGTAATTGTTATATTTATATTAGTCTTATATACAAGAGTTTATGATCGGCTAGAACACAAATCAAATATATAATTTTTCGGATTTTTTGAGTGCGTTCTTTTCGGGTTAAGAGATAGTGTTTTTTTGCATGCATTTTAATATTTTAACAATTTTACATTTCTTTAATTTACTTTTAATATCCTAGTCCATAGTACAAATCCCAACTTTAATAAGAAAACTGTTCTAACCAAAGAAATATTAATTATTTTGTGAACTTAATTCTAATTATATTTAAAATAATATGCTATTATAGTCATCGTAAGTAGATCAAAATGTGAAACAGCTAAAGTTCATTCAAGACGTTTTTGTTGAAATTCTAAACTAAATACCGTTCTAAACTCTCTTTTATAATGACCTACCCAATTTTCTTGTTAAAAATTAAACTAATAAACCGGAAATTACGATATACACAGAATATATTGTATATTAAAGAAGTCCTCTACTAAATGCCGTTAGGATTGCATTTGTGCCAATAAAATTGAAACATTATAGCTATTTAAACTACATATTGGCTCGTAAGGTTGGGTCGTTCAAGTATTACGTAAGCACTATGGTCTTTGATATTCTTATTTGGCGATTACGTCAACAGCAATTATTAATTTTTTTACACACATTGTCTATGCTTGAAAACGAAATGCATGTCCGAGGATTCGTACAAAAACTACTACTATTTTTGAGAGCTTTGCTTACTTTTGCTGACAATAGGGGTTTTGCAGTAAATCTACTTACGTAATACTCGAACGGCCCCTAAGTTCAGAGACGAGACCAGCGCGAACGATGACTCCATATATAGTCATACTTTGCACTAATTCTCGACTGTGAAGTTTGCCCTGAATGTTAAAGTCTTTCGCATCTTTAGAAGTTGAAATCCTATAGCTGTTGCGAGGAAATATGAAGTTATGAGCTCACAGCACTGATTAAATTGAATTCCATTACAAGGTATTAGAGTGTATTATTACTGTGAGTTCATGGTAACGGGTAAGTATGGCATGTTGTGACCGATCGCTTGCAAATCATTTTTCATAAACTTTATATCAAGCTTTCGTTTAAGCTTGATATAAGGTTGCATTATCGCTCGTCGCTCGCCCCCTAGTGTTAGTTTTATGTTTTTCTGTTTTTAGGCCCATGGATGGTACCACCCCGAAGCATGCGGTAGGCGCTAGCCCACAAAACGTGCTTGGGTAATTAACCATGTTTTTTTTATTGGCCCCCACAAAGTACTTGACGATTTTGGAGCATTTTTCTCGCCTCTTATGATGTGACGTCACTGGTTTTTTTTTTTGTTAAAAAACGATTCGTACTTGTAAAAAAAAGTCGACGTTCAATATTAATTATTGGATATTTAATAGTTATTATTTTTTATTATATTAGCTATTTGTTTTTTTGTAGAATTTTTGAATTATTACAATGTGTTGATTTTCCGTTTATTTGCACTAATCGTTACATAGATATCGGGATGGAAAAATATAGCTTTAAAACCGTTTATTCTAATGAAAGTGTTTGTGGGGGCGTTTTATTTTCAAAATTTAAATTCGAATGTTTCTTTAGATGTCGTTTTTTTGTTATAATTGGCTTATGATCATTTCTTAGGTAATTGGTAAGTGAAACTATGTTGCCAACTTTTAAATTTGAATATAATCTGTAATTGTCTATAGCTAGAATAGAGTATGCACTGTATTCTTAGGTATTGTACTAGGCTTTGTAAACGAGCTACAAATTTAAAGATTTCAAAAAATTTATGTAATTTTAATCCGTTCACAGATTGTCCCAGCTGTGTTTTTCCATACTAAGAAGGTTAAACGTAAATCATATACTAGAAATGTTATATCTCACGTAATATTCAAACCTGTAATTCGTACTAAGGTATCGGGTGGCGCAATAGAACGTGCATTTATTAAGTATAGGCTAAAAAATAAATACAAAAGGTATAGTTGAAATAAAATATAGGATGATTAGGTAATTAAATGTAGTTTATTTTTTAAAAATAACATCATCCAAATGACGGATCCCTCTCAAAGATGGCACTCCTCTAAACGCGAACACAGATTTGTGAAAACTCTTGTCAATAAATCTGGGGTGATAGTTGCCATTTCCCCACGGATATTTTCTTTTAGCTCTTGTTTAGAGGAGTGCCGTCTTCGAGAGGGCCGTCGTTTAGATGATGTTATTTTTAAAAAATAAACTTCATTTAATTACCTAATCATCCTACATTTAATTTCAACTATACCTTTTGTATTTATTTTTTTAGCCTATACTTAATAAATGCACGTTCGATTGCGCCACCCTGTATTAGAGAAGGGAGAAAATCACTTTAAATCATGAAAATTAATATTTTTTTAAGTCCATGTCTTAAACGAGAATGAAAACATCGGCATTACATGCCTTTTAAGAGACAGAGTCTTATTCAGAAACCTGAAGCTCAACGCCATTTTGATATTAAAACATGTGCAAAGTTCTAACAATTGGAGACTCTTTGTCGAAGTGATTATTGTAAACACTCGACTACGTAGCCCGTTTACAACCGCCTATAGGTTAGAACTTGAAGAACAAATGTGTCGCTTAATTATTGGTCCATACATGTACACCAGCTCTTATATTTTATATTATGTTTTTGTAAATAGCGCCATTTCTTCCCCTATCAACGACCTTCCGAGATGCTTATTTAATGAAACTTATTTTATATATAATTTAATATGTCAATAAATATAATCCATATGGGTTGCCTACAAATTTCAGTCCAGAGTATGTTTAATTAATTTAAAAAAAAAAATTTTTTAAACATTTCACCGGTATGATTATTAGATAAATTCTATACCAATCGAACGTATGAAGCCCATAGAATATGCAAACGTTAGGTTGTTTTGAATCGATTAATTATTTATGTGTATATTTTTTATGTGACACTAAAGTATATATACATCTTTAGTATTAAAGAAGGTTATAGTGATAAATATATAATACTACCCTATTAAAAATATTGATTGAAAAAAGTTCAAAAAATTTACTACATGCAATTTATAAAAAAAAAATTTTTTTTAAATATTAATTAAACATACTCTGGACTGAAATTTGCTAGGCAACCCATATGGATTATATTTATTGACATATTAAATTATATATAAAATAAGTTTTATTAAATAAGCATCTCGGTGAAGGTCGTTGTCATAGCGGGATCTTATACTACATCTAGTTTCCGCATTAGGTAACTTGACACATCGGCGTCGTACGTAAATGTTGAAAATTATTATATAATATATTAAGAGTTACAGAGTACAGGACAGGATGGACCAATCACAATCAAGCGACGCTATTGTTTCCTTTCTAACCACCTCGCTTGATGTTTTCGGCCATATATTTGGCGTAAAGAATGTGCATAATATCTAATATGCTTAAGCATTCATTCCATTTAGCAATTCATATTAACGAAAACTAATTTTGTTTGTATTTGTTTTAGTATGAGGTTTTTCGTTATTAAAATACATTATTGTTAAAAACATCTGTCAGAATATTTAATTATAAATAATACAATGTGAATGCTTTATTTCGAATAGCAGAGATACTGATCATTTATATACAAAACCTAATGATAATAGCATTTCGTACATTATTTCAAGGGACATCAGTGACACGGATAAGAATATCTAAATTATGACGTCATAATAAACTATTGGAACTCGCAGCCAATTTCAGCTCGCAATTGATAATTGCCGCGGTCTTTGTATATTTGTATTTAACATAGAATTAAATGTATTTACAGACAAGGTACGGAAGAACAAGTGAAACCCCGTGTTCTGAGATTCACTTGGAGTATGAAGACGACGTCATCGAGAGATCCACATGAGATTATGTCGGAAATACGAAAGGTAATAATGTCTAATTAAAGTAAAATTGTCCTTTGGCAAATGCTTTTATGCTCCGATTTTTCTTTCCGTAGAATTCTGACATTTCATAAATGTTGCTACTAAAAAGTATTTCAGCGAACAAGGGACAAATTTGACCCATTTGAAAAAATAAAAAATATTTCAATATCACGAACAATGTATCGAATTAATTTTTATTACTTTATTTAATTCTTTAGCTGGCATCACTGCCTACTAGGTCCAATGTTCTTTTGTTCTAATGTAGTTCTGACTTCACTGAAAAGAAAAAACTGTAGCACAGTTTTTATTCTTTATATACCGTATCGTATTTCTTTTAAGGTTCATCACGAATTTTCTCGACATCGGTAGCAAATTCATTCTTAGCTTCTGTGACGTATTAAATTTGTTTCTAATTTTTCAGGTTCTAGACGCGAACAATTGCGACTACGAACAAAGGGAACGTTTTCTCCTTTTGTGCGTACACGGAGACCCGAACGCCGATTCGTTGGTTCAGTGGGAGATAGAAGTTTGCAAACTGCCTCGATTGTCCCTTAATGGTGTCCGGTTTAAGAGGATATCCGGTTAGTGAATCTTTTTCTAACATGTAGGTTAGAAGATTTATATTGCTTTATGTGGAACAATGAAGTTAACATTTCTTCTTTCAGGCACTAGCATCGGCTTCAAGAACATTGCCTCAAAGATCGCGAACGAGCTCAAGCTGTGACTGCCCGGTCACGGCCGGCGGAGACGGAGGCGTTTCGCCCCGGAGCCCCCGCCCCGCGCCGACAGCCTGCGCCTCTCCGCCGAGGACATGGTGCTCGTCGCCAATGCGGGGTTTCGCACCAGCTCGGGTACCCTCGCCCACTATCTTACCACCTGCCCTTCTAAGAGCGACTACTTCAAGCCGATACGCGAGTGTGATATCCGACACGCGGCCAGCACCCACGCGCTGAGACGCGTCCGTACTCCCTCGCCGCCGGAGACGGAGTGCGATTGCCTCCCGACCGAGCCGATTCCGCCGCCGGAGCTGTTCGATTTTTGAAATTTCAAATTTGTTTTCTTTTAATCCTTTGTATGAGATTTGGTTTTGTGGTCTGTGTGTTAGTTTGTAGTTTATGATTATAAAATATATGGTCGTCTGTACCTATGCCTTTTTTAAGATTACAATAATTTTGAAATGTACACTGGATTACTTTTTGTACGAAGACATACATACGACACAACGCACGCACTATGAAACCAAAGTTATTTAAATCTCATACTTGGGCTGGTTACGTGCATTAGTAGGTAATGCAAATATTCTGCGCAGTACATTCTTTGAAAATTGTTTTATTTTTCTCGTGTTTCGATGGCGTTCGACTTTTAAGCTCACAACACAAGAAATAACAAGAGTTGAATAAAAATCAAATTTTAAATTGTGTTCCAAAAAATCGAACGCCCAAAAATCTTTCAATTATTGTTACAGTTATGTTTTTATTTCGAATTTTAGCAATAATATTGTTATACACTTGAGTGAAGCGATGCAAACTGTCAATGTCACATAGAGAAGCATAGCTATAGTACTCTATGTTTAATTAATCTATGGTAAATATAATCATCGACAAAGTGTAATCTAGGTGATAATTCCTTTTTTACTTTCAAATGTACATATTCAACGCGTGATATTTCATCTTTACATAATTGCGTTTTTAAAGGTTTTCAAGAATTCAATCCTAATATTAATGATGGCGTGATTTGCTATGTGCCAAGATGGACTTTCAAAGGCCGGTGTCTTTTTAATTCGATTTTATGATTTTATCTAGTTAATTTATACGCTCTCATATACAACGCCGTTGTAAAATACCATTAACGTGAAAACGTGATTATTTTATGTAGATAAGTGACGAGCTGTGATGTCACGGGCGCCATTTTAGTTCAGATGTCACGTGATGTTTAAACTAAATTGCGTTTTGGTATTCGCGGTTCGAACCGTTGTTTGTGCTATCGCTTAATTATTAATTTACTTATATTAATAATGTAATAATGTACAAAGTGGGTTCGCGCTCAAGATACAAGTTATAGCTTAGTGTTAATTTTTTTCCAATGTATTGAGAATATACAAAAATGAAATGCAAATGGCTGTCGGATGAAATTAGGTTAATGTTATAATACACTTTTGCTACTGAATTTATGTATCGCTTGAGATGTACTCCTTTTTGACGTCACTTTAGAATGTTTTAATACTATTTAATTTATGAAGTACATTTATCGATCCTTATTTACGTTCTTTTTGATTTTATTATACTGAACTTTTACTTTTTCTGATGTGACGCCAAAACAAATAACGAATTCATTCGTAAATGACAGTCATCACGTTTTCTGCGTCTATGCTTCAAATATTGCTCAGTCTATGGCCAATGTCATTTACGTTCGAATTTTAAATAGGTAAATCGCAATTGGTTGACGCTTCGTTCCTTTTTAGAAGGGGAAATTGACAGCTGAAAATGTCGATTGAATTTGACAATTGATATAGCTGTCAACTTCATAAAAGGAATATCCAGTGTCGGCTAATTTTAATTCTACAATAGTTAATCTGTGTGAATATGGTTATGCGCGATCGCGGTTGTCTCTTTCTAATGTAAGGCTGAATTAGAAAAAGTCACCTTTCTCACTCTAATTTTTTTAAACTGTGACCGGTAAAGACAACGTATAGCAATAATTGTATTGTGTTAATCGCAAACTTGGTTATAGCCTTTTCTATCGTGTGATGCTTACGGATTTATTGTTTTATGTTAATTTTCGTCGATATATTGTGTGTGATAAATGCATACTTACTAGACATAAATTAATATAGGATGTATGTATGGCGATCGCGTTTTCTAAATAATCTTAAATAAGCGTAGTGTTATACTTTTACATGAAAATCACAAATCTGACCTGTTCGCTTCGTTTATCGCCATTTCGAGTTTTATAAATCTTTTACTATCTCGAATATTCCATAAATTGATGAAAGATTATTGTTTAGTGCCATTGCTGAAACATGTTTAAAATACAGGGTAATCTTTTTTAGTTTTAAAAATTGTTAATACTTTTTTTATTGATTTTCGCTCAGAGTTGAAATCTAGTGGCGATATACGAAGCGGCCCCACAATATAATAATGATTACATACTGTAGTATATTTATATAGCTTTGGTTTATATATTGTTTAGTGTAGTGTCGGCCGCGCCTCAGTCGACTGTGGCGTTTGTGAAAAGTTCAACTGGAAATAAATTTTATTTTTAATTCCATAATATTGTTTTTGTTAACCCTATCCTTCATTATTTAAATAATTTTCCTTTTTTTTAATAAGTGGTTTGACTGTTCCAAAAATAATTTTAAATAACGTCATCGCAGAATCACGAGGCGGTTTCACACGCATGCTTTAAAAAAAAATTTTTTTTCTTAAATGGCCCTTAGCCGCATTGATTACGAAGAGACTGGAAGCAAACAGCTGATGCGCAGGAGACAGTTGCTGTGTATCGTCAGGCATCAATATAATACGGGATTAGCATCAGATTGCGACCTCTTTTTGGTATTATTGTTCACCCAAGAGCAAGTGTTAATGTCAAACGTTAATATTTTGGTACACACAAACAAATAAAATACACTCAAATATTGTAACAATTATAATAATTGAGCAATACAGTCTATAACGTAATACTTTTTCACTAACGACTAATTTGTTTTGATGCGTAAAGAAATAATAAATTAATAAGAAATAATAAAAATAAACGTCTGTATAATAATATGGAACATAACTTGAACTTTAGAATTGCAAGATATTCTTAAAGACGTAAAGCAAAAAGCAATACAAACATTTCCTTATATAAAAATAAATTACTAAAGACTTAAAACTATTATTACTAACGGATTAAAGCTCTAAAAATATTACTTAACAGAAAAAGTTCAACAATGATTACGCTTTTAATCTGAACATAGAAACTGGAATTAAACGTTTTCAAATTGTTCTAACTAATACTTTGTACAATGGGTGGTATCTATAAACCTAGGGCTACTTAAGTCTGTTTCTTAATTGGATTTCCATCCAAATCGACTTCTGTACTCGGTATCAATGGTGGTTTAAATCCGCCATACTCTATTCTTAAATTTTTAGGGGCTCTATCTGTTCTTCGTTTATCGAAGTCCTGATTTTTCTCCCAAGTAAAATTATATGCTTTGGTAGGCGGTGGACCGTAATATTTCTGTTCACTTCCGATATAGTTTGTAGGGAAATAGTTCTTATCTGTGGTATTTATATAAGAGTATGTTGAGGCGTACTGGTTTCCCCATAGCGTCGAATGAATGGGAATGTTTTGTTTGTATAAACTCTTCAAATACTCATCGCTAGCTTTTTGAACTTGATAATTACGTTGGGACTCGGCTTGGGTCTGCATATAATTTTGGAGCTGTTGATTTTGCTGAAGAGTGGAAACTTTTGGAATGTACTGTATTGGATTTTGGTATCCCTTCCCATATCCATAGTAAATTGGATCAATCTGTTCAAATTGGTACGGCGTGTCTGGCTTTTGCTGGTATGGTACCTTAACTTCAACCGGGTATGGTACTCTTCTTTCAACAATTCTGTCTACCGGATACGGTACCCTTTTTTCCACAGGATAAGGTTTATCAACATATTTCGTTACTATGACAGGCTTCTCAACTATTTTTTCAACGACAGTATTTACTGGGTATGGTACTTGTACTGGAACCTTTTTCTCGACTATTCTGTCAATGTGAACTGGATAAGGCACTTTTCTCTCAACGATTCTGTCAACTGGATACGGTTTTGGCACCTGAACTTCATAAGGGACCGGATGTGGTACAGGTACTTTAATATGCTTTTCGACAATTTTTGTTACTGGCTTTTCAACTGTCACTGGTATCCGTCTCTCTACTGGGTAAGGCACAGGTACTCTCACTTCGTGGTGGACGGGATACGGTACTCTCTTTTCCACTGGATAAGGTACTGGTACCTCTTTATGAACTATTCTATCTACTGGTTTTTCAACAGGTACTGGGTAGAGCACCTTTTGCTCTACTGGAAAAGGTACCGCTACGGGAGTCGGTATAGCTACAGGATGTATTACATTCTTTTCAACGACTTTCTCAACGGCATATGGTACGTGAACTGGCCTATCAACGTATACTTTATGCTCGACGGGATATGGAACTCTCACTTCAACCGGGTATGGCTTCAATACCTCTACAGGGTAAGGTTTATCGACGTATCGAGTGACCTCTACTGGTTTTTCAACAATTCTATCGTATCTCACAGGAACATGCACAGGTCTATCTACTGGTACCTCTTTTACAACTTCTACCCGTTCTGGGTATGGCACTTGCTTTTCAATATATCTGTCGACGAATTTGGTAACAGGAACTTCTTTTTCAATTATAATTGGCTGAACTATTTCATGATGATAATTTCTATTATCTTGTTGTTGGTTTGGATTTACATGAACTTCACTGTAAGCATTGCCTGATTGTTCATTATCATTAGAATTCTTCTTTGGTCTATCGTTATAGTCTGTATTTTGATTAGGTCGTACATTATTGGTTTCTGATGATCTATATTGATTATGCAGGACATTGCCATAATTAAAATTTCTACCCTCATCTATGTACTCGCGATGATATTCAACATCGTTTATATGAGTTATTTCAATAGGTATTGAATGTTGGATTTCTATTATTGTTCTTTCCTTTTCAGGCATGGCTGTATCTGGGATGTTTTCACTTTCAGATATGTCATGGTCTTGATAATCGGTATTATTTGATTCCAAAAGCCTCAGAGCAACCGTGATTGGTCTTAAATAGTTCTGGCTGATGGGCCTTGGAGTTATGTTAACCAAATCTTCGCCAGAAGTTTCAGCGTCTTCATCTAAGCTGTTTCTTACTCCTACCAGTTCATAACCGTCTTCCAAGTATGGAACCATTGTAGATATTAAATTGTTAACAACCTTTTGTTTAAAATTGTTTTCATCTGCATCTGAGACAATTATTGGTGATTTAAATGTTTGTTCCCCTAATTGTTTATTATTTCTTTCATTCTTTATATGTTGTGTTTTAGTATTTACAATATTTCCATACTTAGTGGAAACTGAGACATGACTTTGAGGAACAGTTCGCTGTGAGTCAAAGGTACCTTGAGATCTAACACTGAATCTTGGTTTTGCTTTAATTAGATCATCGTTTTGAGAATAGATGGCTGATGATTCTTCGGCGTGATTAATTTTTAACAAGTCGTCATTTGATATGAGGTCCTGCGTAGAAGCAACAAGCCGTGATATACCTTCTTCTTCAGTTAATGTTACGGAATTAGGTGTAGTGGATCCGGATAAACTTGAATAGTAAAATTTTTCATTTCTAGCATTACTTCGTGGTGATTCAACTTTAAAGTGAACTGTACCTCGATATAGAGGTTTTATTTCTTTTTCACCGAAGTTTCCGTCTACTAAACCATTTGACAATTCTAATTTAGCGGATTCTTTATCAATATGATTCTTCTGTTGGACATCATTGTTTGAACAGTTAGAATCCTTAAATACTTGTACTACCTCTATCTGACCGTTTGGTTTGTTAATATTTTCACTATGAGACAGCTGTGTTCCTTCATTTTGATTATTATTCAGTAAGATCAAGTTGTTCTGGTCTGGCATGACACCGTTATTATGTTGAACGTAGTTGTAATATTCAGCTTTGGGTAAATCGTTAAAGTTAAAATCGTTAAAAATATTAGGTATTGGATTATATTGAACAAGATTTTGATCTGGAATTAATTGAAATAGTGGCGGTTGGTTAGGAGGTGCCGTGTAATGAGTTTGCAGAAGGAAAAACTCAAGAGGATTTTGTTCCGCACGCAAATCGGAGGTGGCACTTGCTTCTTGAATTTCATTTGGTATTCCGGGGCTCACTTGAGAAGATATCTGAAAGTTAAAATAAATATAACAATTATATTATACAGACATGTTAATTACATTGCTTCTGCCAGAATACGTCCACTATGAAGTCTATATTCTTAGCCAACCTGGGAATCTAACTCCAGTGCTCTACGTCCTAGGGCGAAGTTTGACGTAGTGCTGTGATGTGGGCCCTTCGTGTTGTACGCCAGCGCACCGTGGTAGCCACTACCGTCTGCTATATAGCGGACTTGTTGCTCGGACTGTAATAGGAATCTTTATTAAAGTAGGTACTAGTTCTAATATTGTTTGACGTCATTGGGTCGGAACATTTGTACATATGTTTCTTTGATAAACTTTTGAGGCTCACAAAAACAAAAGCATTTAAAATAAATTAGCAGACTTTACACTATAATCCACAGCAATCAAAATTTTATAATATATTAAATGAGTGTTACCATTTAACATTAATTAATTCAAATTACCATTTTAATCCTATTAAAAGTTTTGATTGTTTCATGTCTCCGTTCTTGAATTATCGCCAATGTCGTAAATATTAAGTAGACAGTGCGGTATGTATTAATTGTATAAATTCTGGTAAATGATCCGTTACGGTGCGTATATAAATTTTAATGAATTTTCCGTGATTGAAAGTTTCATTTCAGGAAGGAATATTTTTAAATATTAAAGTGTTAAAAACTAACACTCATACTGTTAACACTATTACATATACCAATGGCGCTACAACATTTTATGTCTAGGCCTCAGATTACTGTATCTGTTGCCTGACACTCACCATCTACAGTCTGCACCATCTTTTTAGGCTGGTTTCCTCACGTTTCCTTCACCGTAGATGCGAGGGTTACATGCACATATAGGTAGAAAGTCCATTGGTGCACAGTCTGGGGTCGAACCCAGAACTTCAGGGATAAAAGTCGCACGTTGAAACCACTAGACTAACACTATTAATACACGCTACAAAGGCAAGACTGATACAACACTAATACTACAATATTTCTAAAATAGCATGAAGATCAATTTAATAATCACTTCTCAACTCTTCATTAGACATTATTATTAACAATTGATTTACATGTAATTAAATATAAATTTTATATTTATTACTTAAGTTCATTGTAAGCTTGTGAATGTGAAAGATGTGTGATCCCTTTCAAATTTAAATGATATTAATTAAATAATAAAGATAACAAATATATAAACCGATCTTAAGTTAAAATTCCGAAAAAAAAGAATTTAAGGGTCTTACTGACCTCAGGAAGTCTGACATAGTATTGTCCGACAGAACCCGGGCCTTGTTCTCGCATTTGCCAGCCCCATTCTGCGTATCCATTGCGGCTTGAAGTCTATAAAAATAAATTAATTTAGTCGACAGTCTACAAAACTTGGCTTTTAATGTACTAAAAACTATTTTTTAGAGCAAACAGCATTGAGACTAGTCTAATACGATCTCTTACAATGCTAGAGGGCTCGCGAGTGAGTTACCGGCCTTATAAGAATTGGTACGCTCTTTTCTTGAAGGACCCTATCGGAAATACTTCAGTGGGTTGATGGTTCCACATAGTGGTGGGGCGAATTGGCAGTAAGGCAGTTTTAAGAAGTGTTAGTTCAGTTTTAAAAAACTGCCTTAAAAAAACGCTTAGTTGTGGAACGGAAGTCGAGTAGTGGAATTTCGTATTCTGCTTTGATGTCCGATGATGAAACTCAGCCGCAGGTATTAATGAGAACAACTCCTCTGAACACTCTCCATGGTAAATGCGGTAGAAGATGCAGATTGACCCCACATCTCTACGCAAAGGGATCTAGCCGGTCGGAATGGTTGTCGACGATTCGAACCGCACTTCGTTGAATACGGTCAAATAACAGTAGCAGCGATGTTGTGTAAAACAACAAATTTAGACATAGACATAACATTTATTACTAAAAAACACACACATACATAATACACGCAAGCACAATAGACAAAGAAAAAATATAATGAGAGAAAAAAACTTTTTTTTCCCTTTAGGTTCGTTTCAAGTGTGTAATGCGTGTGTGCTGTGGTTGTAATTGGCCCTGGCTCAGCATTATGCTGAGGAGCAGACTGTTCCACAGCGCTGGTCATTCTGCCAGAGACCACAGCTAGCTTGCGCCTCAGTCGCAAAAAAAGAAAAACAATGTAATGACACTAATATTTAGTAGAAAAAAAATTATATTAATAAATAAGTTTCGATATATTATATATTGTAATCTTAATATCGCGTAAACGTAAGCTTTATAGTTGCGAGAATCACCTCAATAAAACTTTACGTCTTAACTCAAAAGCTCTAACTCAAAACATCTCGTAAATACATAAGTGGGCTAGACAATTCGATAGCTACATTATATAAGCTTTATCTAGTTCATTTAATATGACGCAACATCGAAAGCACGTCAATTAATCTTCCACAAAATTGTTACATGTGATACATTCCGTAATTATGTTTTTATTTCATCAATTTGTGCCACGCCTTTCATTTCAAGTGGAATACATTTTATCAATCGCGAGTATTACGTATGGTAACGATGATTACAAAGAGCAGTGTTGGCTTAGTGGCTTCAGCGTGCGACTCTCATCCCTGAGGTCGTAGGTTCGATCCCCGGCTGTGCACCAATGGATTTTATTTGTATGTGCGCATTTAACATTCGCTCGAACGGTGAAGGAGAACATCGTGAGGAATCCGACATGTCTTAGACCGAAAAAAAGTCGACGGCGTGTGTTAGTCACTGGAGGCTGATGACCTATTAGATTTAAAAATGATCATGAAACAGATTCATAAATCTGAGGCCCAGACCAAAAAAAAGTTGTAGCGCCACTGATTTTTTTAATGATGATTACATAGATAGTAGATTGTACTTAAAGCATAAATTTGTATGTAAACTGATAATTCTCTTGAAACGATTATAATAAATTGTTCCAAGATTCAAGTCAAGCCCAAGGACTACATTCTTTAGAAGTTCATTTCTATCTTATGCAAAATCCAGACAGCCTAGGTTATTGACCCTGTGTTAATGCGTTTGTATCAAGTTGTTCCCCTTTGCGTTATTAACATGATCATAAGGATAATATAGATAAACTTCAAATAATCAGAGTTTTATAATTTGGATAATTTTTGAAACATTAGGTCGTCACTGATAAGAGACATTCAATTGATAACATGCGCATAGTATATTAAAGAAAGAAAGAACTTTATTAAACACAATAACAGGGTATTAAGGTAGAATAAAATGCACTAAGATTCTCTGTATTGTGGGCAGCCAGTTTCTTCCTTTTAACATGTTAACTATTTTATTTTATGATTTCTACATAACACAAATTTATATTGAAACTATTTTTGTATAATAAGAATATTTTCTGTATTAGCATGAGACAGGTTGATAAGATATTGTTTGAGATTTTTAGTGAATGTAATGTCACTTTTGGAATGTTAGTGATAATTTTGTTTTTAAGAAAGTGGTTAATAATGAAAGGGTCTGTGAAGGAAAAAAAGCGTTGGGCGAAGAAAGTGCGTTTATAAATTCAAAGGTGATTAATATTTTTTAATCTTCATCTTTCAAAGCTTTACCTTTGTCCTTGTCACTTATGGCTTTTGAGCCAGATTCAATATATATCAACTTGTTTCTGAATAAAATAATTTTTAAGAATGAGAAAAGTAAATCACGTAATAACAAGTTGCGGAATGTAACTTTCGTAAAGTTAGACCACTTTTACTGACTCCATTCGTATAAGGGCTAACTTCCTGCAATATTTGTTGCTACTGAATCATTTATTAAGATATAACTATATGTTCCTAGAGCAAGAGACGCAGGCGATATAAAGAGAATAGGAGACACAACATGGACAAGAAGAGCTAACGTTAGAAAATAATGGAAGCAGCTGGAAGAGGCCTATGTGTCACAGGACATGCTTTTCACCAAACCCGGCACATCTGATTAGATTAAGTTAGGTTATGTAACTGAAACATATGTTTATATATATAATACTGGGTGTCAGCAACAAAGGCTTAATAATAATATGTTCCTAAGTACGATATATGATATCCCGCTAAAAGGCAAAGGTCTTCAAATATAATGGGTATCTATTCTATGTAAGATTTTATCAATAACTATAAAATTTAAATAATAGCTTAAAGAGATATAATCTAAGTTGTTCTTTTAAAATGTGTATTTTCGAAATAAATAGAACGTAAAAAATGTGATAAATTAATTTAACCTAAAAAAATCCACAATTAAAAACGTATCTATAACGTATTTATAACTCAATCGGTAATGTGTTCACGGCCTTTTGTTATGGGACTTCAATATAATCAAGTTTCAATAATTCTTTCCTACGAAAGTAAAAGGTTTTTAATCAACAAATGTCGTCCACATTTTTGATTAAAACAAATTGACTTGACTAAAAAAATTGATTTGACTTGACTATCTAAATTATATTGATTAAACTAAACAACGATGTTGTTTTAAGATACGATCTAATCAAATAAATGCCCTTTATTATTTAAGTGTACCAGCTCCATAACACGTCGAAACTTTCACTTGAGCTTTACCGAGCTTTATATAAGCTTTATTAAACTTCCTGTAATTCAATTCTTATTACTACTCATGTTTTTAGACTACAAATATCGTGAGATTCTGTTGATGTTAGGGCGTCAAAGTATATTTTTTAAATAGTTCAAAATACCTAATACATCAAACTACAAACAGAATTCCTCATAAGGTTTCTTTGATCACGGATTTAACTACACTCCGAAGCCAAAACAGAAAACAATTCAAATGGCAGATATATCAAAAATTAACGGTACTGTCGCTTACAAGCCATCTCTAGAGTTTTATGGAAAATATAACTATGCACTTCTTTCTCAAAGAGAAGGTTGAGCAAACAGAAGGATCGATCAAATGTCCCCAAACTGTACACTGTAATAAGAGAGGCGCTGGACGGAAACCGGTGGAAACAGATTGTCCGCTGTTTCCTTGCTAACCACGACGCTCACACATGAGCTACCGACTGAAGACATGTAGATTCTAAATAAAACTCTATTAAATCAGATAACAGTATATAGATATTTTTGAATCGTTTCGTTTACATACTACATCTAAATTTAATATTATTGTATTTTCAATATAATATATTGGATAACACGACAATTAGAAACTCAGGTGACATTTAATTTTGTTTGTTTTTTGAAGTTGATAATAAATATACAGCTATACAATCCCTAAGGGCCACTGAAACCAGTTCGGGCTTGTTATATAAATAAAAGTAAAAGTAGATCTATTGTATGACATTTATATGACGTTTAAGTCTAAGTTTAAAACTCAAACGTACGTTTGTACTTCTACAAAATTTAACAATAATTTATGGGTTGATTGCCATTTGACGCTAATTTAATATTTTTCATTTGTTTTATATCATCTTCATCGTTTGAACTATTAACAATAATTAATATACACAATGTTTTTATTTCATATGTTTAATCAATTCATGAGCTTACGAAAAAATACTGTGAAAACTTCTTAAGTTAAATAAATCCAAAGAATTTTACGAAATATTTTTTACATTTTATTAGTTTTCCTATTTTAAATATATTAATATAAGAACAAGAAAAATAATACATGGAAAAGATATACACATCTGAGACCAAAACCCAAACGTTGTAGCGCCACTGGATATGAAAAAAAAACAAAGACTATCTTACATAATTTGCAAGTTACATAATTCGGAAGGGATTATACAATGACAATAGATGATTTATATCCGATATAGGAATGTGTTCAATGATAGCTAAGCTATCAGCAAGATTTTTACTAAGACAGTAAAAATATCAGTAAAGCTGGGTCCACATTTGTAGCATGTTGACGTATCACGATCAGTCGTATCGTATCTAGTATTTGTATCATAAATATGAACGCTCATTTTGTCCATGTCGTATTTTTAAGGCGTATCTTGTAAAAAACGCGTCCATACTTATCAAATGCTGTATCATGTCAGTGTATCGGCTTTAACTTTACAAATATAGACGCTTCACTTTTCTTTCGATGTATCCTGATGCGCGTGTCTTTCAGTGCACCTTTCCCTTCTCGTACGGTTCAGTCATGTCTTCGTTCCCAAACGGTTTAGCCATGTCAGCAATTGCTCACAGTTTGGCGGTGACTAGCGCCTGTTATATTATCATTAATAGTATTTCAAAAAAAGTTAAATCCAGACGTAGACGGCGCTGGAAGTGTTTAGAAAGTGGAATACCATTGATGCGAGATGTAAAATTTCAGCATACCAGCGGAAAATACAAAAATTTCACTCGCATGTCACCCATTGATGTTGTGTATTCCCTTTGATTAACGCGAAAAAACCGACACAGGATGGTTCGCGGTGAATCAAGTATCGTATCGCGATACAGTATCGTGATACAGTATCAAAATACGTCCATACCACCGATAGTGATACGCGTATCGGATACGAGGTGTATAAAGATACGCGCTTAGTGCGGATCGGGCCGTATTAGATACGGCATGTATCATTAACGGGTATCATTTTGGGTCCAAACTAACGATCATGATACGCGCCGAAGCCACGCAACGGAGATACGATACACCGAAATGCTATAAATCCAGCTTAAGATACATTCGTTTAGATTTCAAAACGTATTTTGTTCAAGGAATCAAGCTTATTTTTATTCGAGTTGTAGTAATAGAATAAAATATATCCTAGTTGGTTCACATAACTGATATTCTGGCTCCAACTCAGGTTTAATAATAACTGTTTCGAGTTGATAGGTACATAAGGCTGGTGATCTTCTTTAAAAAAGCCTAAAAAAAAGCCTACTGATGATGAAAACTATATATATTAAATGCTCTAATTGTACATTTACTCCCAGTTCTCAAATCAAGGGAGAACGGAAGAGAAGAAGAGGCAATAAACTCAAGCGCCACTCTTTTTAATCGTCAAGTTTTTTGTTTTACACAACGTTTGTAAGGAGCCGCAACCATTACACCATGTTCCACATGACATTTTAAGTAATAAATAATAATAAATTAGATCGCTGGGGACATCAAGCCCTTTTGGTTACTTAAAAAAAATGCTATATATCTTAATATATATATAATTCTACTTAACGTGTGCATGTCACGGAACTCCCCTTAAACGGATGGACCAATTTGAATTAATTTTTGCATGCGTTTGGGTGACGCCCGAGATGGTTTAGATTCACAAATCAGCCCGGTAGATGGCGCTGCAATCGGTATCTAGGTTATTTATCTATACAGCAAATAAACTGCTGGTATATATATATATATAAATCTTCTGTGCATGTGTTTGCAATCAAACTACTAAACGCTTGGACATATTTTGATAAAAGTTTTTGTGTGTTCAAGTGGAGTCGAGAATGATTTACATTATAAGTAAGACGTGTGTACAGGACAACGTCTGTCGGATATGCTAGTTTACATATATATCTTCAAATAGTATAGCTTATTCTATACACAATCCGTACGTGTTACATTTCCTGCCTCTTAAACAATAGCTTACATCAATCATCAAAAGAATGGTGTTCATTTAGTATTTCATTTAGAAACCGTGTCACTAATTTGTTGAACAATTAATTTCTTTGCGTTGTTTAGATAATAGGTATGTTGCGTCATTGCAGCATCTATATTAAATAAAAAATGCTATGCATCTGTAGCGGTTTACGTAAACATGCGACATGCTAATGAACATTACCTTAGTTTAAATTATAGTATTGTAGAAAATTAAGTCAACATAATATTACTTTTTAGCCATAATCATCGTATAGGCTATTGTAATTCATGTAAAGTCGCACTCTTTTTTGTGAACTTTAGTAGAAATCATACAACATTTTTTTTATAAAACAGGGCACAAATGGGCTCATCTGATGTTAAGTGATACCGCCACCCATGGACACTCTCAATGCCAGACGAGTGCGTTGCCGGCCTCTCAAGATTTGGTACGGTCTTTTCTTGAAGGACCCTACGTCGTATTGGTTCGGAAACACTTCAGTGGGTTGGTTCCATATAGTGGTGATGCGCGATAAAAACTGCCTTTCAAACGCTCAGTTGTGGAACGACTGACGTCGAGGTGACACGGGTGGAAATTTAAGTTAATAAGAAATAAATAAATAATACCTTTTGATTATTCGCATGTGCTAGAGTCAGTAGTGCTAGAGTTGTAACCACACCGAGCCACTGAAAATGTTACAAAATAATTAATCATTTAAATTGAACATATAATCAGTACTTTAGAATTAGTAGTAAATCCAGAATTTTGTTGATTTGGTTTGAATGTAAGAGCTGTTTTCTATCATGCTAATATGATCTAAGCCTTGTAAGGTGTTGTCTTCACTTATAATATCTTTAAATAGCTATAAATATGTAGTATTATTTTAAATTGACATTGCGTTATGTATCTGACTAAAAATAGGTTACCTTGTTTTTTTATACAACAGACTTCAACGGGCAAATAATATTAATTATTGCTACGATTACTTGAATAATTTTAAAAAGAAGTTTTCTTTAACTTTAGAACTTTTTCAGCAATGTAGTTTATGGCTGTTTAAGTGAGATTCTGTGAAACTATTAGAGGAACTAGTGACGGTGTTTTGTGTGTTAATCTGTGTATTTTCCCGCGTTTTTCGTGCAATTTTATTGATTATTTTTAAATAAACTCATGACGATATTTACGGATTTACTATCCGAAACTCTAGCTCGTATATTATAAAAATGGATAATGAACCATAACTTTAAAAGAATGTTTGGAACTATGTAATCTAATTCGGAATAAATTTAATAATAATAATTATTAAATTGTCATCGCATTAAAAACTATTGAAATTTGACTTACCATGTTTTTCACTACCAAAAATGTCTCATAGGGTAGCGTGGCAAAATACCTGAAAAAAAAAATTAATATAATCCATTTATGTAAATTGATAATTCGAAACCTACACATTTGTTATGTGTACTACACTCAAATATGCAGTTTCCAATTTTCTTAACCTACATAGTAATAATAAAAATAATTAAAAAGAAAATTAAAACAAATTAAAAAGTTCGGTCTCTGTGGCAGTGTACCTTTAACGCTGGCAGCATTTCCTCACTGTACTTATTCGTTGAGCGAGGAACACCAGCTCTGGGTTACCGGTACTATCTACTTGGCGCCAACTTAAATCTTTAATTAGTGCCTGTGCACTTGAACCCAAGGTACAAGAGTCTCTACTCCAAAGGGAACAAAATGTAAATTTATTTAATTTTATGTAAATTGATATCATATATTGATTTTTATATGGATTCAATGAATGTCGAAGTAAAAACAGTTACTTGATAGTATTACACGAAATACTGAAACTATCTTCACGTTCGAAGATCTTTTTTGTACACACGTTTTAGGATGAAGAAATTAATTTCCTATTTACAGAAATTTACATTTCTCCATTTCTTGTAACATAACCTAGACCTAAGTTACGGTTGATTAACTAAATATTGAATATCTAGGCTAGAAAGTGTTGTAGTCTGTTTAATTTTAAATTTCTCTTGTATTTTATATGAAAATATAGTTAAATTTTACCACATCTAAAGTATCACATGAAATCGCTTCTGCTGTATTAACAATGTTTAATTTTATGAAGGTTCAACTTAAGAGTGTAAAAACTAATTTTACAAAGATTTCGAGGCGCATTTTGACTAGGGCTTTGCTAAGCAGTTTTGGGTTTCGGATTCGAATCGCGGTTGGATCGCTGTTTTTTTCTTATTTTTATTTAGTTTTATTTATTAAGGTAGCAGATGGTACAATAAAAATAAATAAACTTAAGTGGAAATGGGCGGGGCACATGGCAAGAGAAAAAGAAAAGTGGAGCAAAAAATTACTAAACTATAGGTAGGTACAATAATAAATAATTTTTAAACGAAAAAGAGAAGGACAATTTAGGTGGATAGACCAGATTAAGGAAACAGCAGTAGAGAGTGGCACAGTGCTGTCAGGAATGGCGGGATTTGGAGGCCTTTGCTAAAAAAGGGCACACAGATACCTAAAAGAAAGTATTTCAACTAAAGGGCTATTATTATTATTACTTAAAGGTAAAAATTACACAAGCAATCTTCGATCAATGAATTCAGTGAAATTTCAATAGCAACTGCCAAAATATTTTTTTATATATACATAGACTTAGTTTTTATCCTAGCAAAATCAAAATCAAATTCGGTTCGTCGGAAATCGAAATATTTATATCACCTATTAGGCCTATTTAGTATAAGCAAAGAAAATCGAAACTAATTACAATTTTCGATTGGCACCGCTTTTCTATAATTATGTTGAGTAACGGTCGTTTCGCCAGTTTTACTGCTTTAATTATTTTAATCAAATTCGTTATCTAGAATAATGTAGGCTTTTATAATAAGAGATAATTACTTTATGTTACGAATTTCCTTCCCATCTTCTTGCTTTTTTGTTTTTGAACAGATGTTTGGCGACAATCCCACCTGATGTGAAGTGAGATGCCTATTGGAGGGCACCCCAGTCCGGCTTATTTAGCCGCTTGAATGAACCCATGTTATATATACTCCTTGGGAAAGAATAAATGCCCCTTTGCCCCTTTTATTCTTTGGGATTTTCAAAAGGAAACGGCACTTGGGGATGTCAACAATGAAGGGGTGATACTCACGCGTGCTTCTAGAAGAGTAGTTTGAAAGGGGATGACGGAATCAGGTTGTGTAGTTCCAAGGAGCATTCTCCGAAGTATAATCTATGACTCGATCTCTACGACTGAAAGGCAGGCAACTGGACGGTGATGGCTTAAGAGTTGAGATTCGACGAGTGAATCGTTGTCTATAGTTTGCTTAGCCTATCGCCGCCACTTAATAGCATCTGGATAACATTTGGCAGCACCCAGAGAGTACAGCAGTACACCACACACGAACGGATTTGAGCTCGATTAAGATTGAGAAGCTTTTCCAGTATGAAGAACTGTCGGAGTTTTGCCAAAATACCAAGGTTTTGCCTCCCATCTGGGACTTAGAATGAATGAAACGCAAACTAAAATGACAGAGAGAGATGAGAGAGAGGGAGGACAAATACCTGTTGTAGCATTAATTATGGGAACTCAAGTTCAGACGGTCCTCAAAACATTGAGGAAACTGCGACCAATGCGAAGACTGAAGAGTAATACAAAATGATTGCATACTAGAAACAAGTGTCTTATGTCATACACTTAACGTCTTCGTAATCCTTAATGTAATGCGCAAGAGTTGATCGTAAAAGGTATTAGAGAAATCAATTAAATTATTCGCTCTCGTGATGTAATATATACATAAACGTACAATGCACCCAATAAAATGTTAACGTAATTAATATATAGTTTGTAATTATAAAATTAATTCAGTGATAATAAACGGCTCGAATATACGAATCTTTCCTCCAACTTTGATTTTGTTCACATTGGACTAGAGACTCTTGGGCCGTGGGTTTCAAGTGCATAGGCGCTTATTAAAGATTTAAGTTGGCGCCTGGTGGTACCAGTGTCCCCAGAGCTGGTACTTTCCTCGCTCAACGATAAGTATAGCAATGCTGCCCTCATTGTAACTCATTCACAACTCACAAGCGGTTTTCGATGCGTCGCTCTCAAATCAGTCGTGAAGCAGTAATTTTATGATTTGGCATTCTGAAAAAGTGTGGAGCTTGTAGTTTATTGTTAATCAGAATGCCAAATCATAAAATGACTGCTTCCAAAGACTAGAGGTTATGCCAGCATTAAAGATACTCAGGGACCAAACCTTTTAAATTTGTTTTAGTTTTCTTTTTATTATTTTAACGATTATTATTATTATCACTTTGTGGCTTTGTAGAATATTGTTAATACAATATATTTGTGTGTTGGAAATAAATATTTCATTATTAGATTCAGCGATTACCTATCTCGCATCGCAATTAATAATTAATTAATCAGAATTTTATTCTTTTGTTATATGAGAAATAAATATAGAGTGAGAACAATATCCTCTAGTATTTAAAGCATCCCCAGCGACCGTTCATAAATATTATTTAGACTTTAAGGTCAAATCAGTTTAAACCCGTAAAATATGTAACCATAATTATTGCCAGTTCCTCTCTTCCATTCTAGGCCCTTGATTTGAGAACTGCCTTGCGATTCTGTAACTCACTTTTCGAACTCTCACAACGGTTTTCGCCGCGGCGGTCGCGCTCATATCAGTCTTAAAGCAGTCATTTTACGATTTGGAATTCTGATTAGGAGGGAGCTTGTAGTTTATTGTTTATCAGAATGCCAAATCGTAAAAGTAGCGACCGCCGGCGCTGTGAGAGTTCGAAGAGTGAGTTACAGAATCGCAAGGCTGACAGTAAAGAAAAAAGCATTTAATACGTATTTCTTTATTGATGTTCATAAGTGTACCTGGTGTTACCTAGTTGAATAAATGATTTTGAATTTTAATAAATTGATTTCATAGTTATATACTTATAAAGAAAAAACATTTTACCCGGATTAAAGTTATGTATTATTATAAATTTACAATTATTTAACATAATTTTAAATTTATAATAAGACCGTGACCACGCACGCTGTAAAGCACGCGAAACGTCGTTAATCCGGTTAAAATGTTTTTTCTTTAAATGTGTAAAGGTTGTGTTAATCAAAGACAATACTAGTTATATACTGTCGAATACGTTTAGAAATGGAAAATAAAAACAAAATAAAATATCTGAAAATTAAAACAAAATAATTTAGGGGTGGACTACCCTTAACATTTACGGGGATGAAAAATAGATGTTGTCCGATTCTCAGACATACCCAATATGCACACAAAATTTCATGAGAATCGGTCAAGCCGTTTCGGAGGAGTTTAACTACAAACACCGCGACTCGAGAATTTTATATATTAGATAGAACCTTATAAAAATTAATTCATAGATTTTTCTGCTGCGCCTCTGTTAGCATCATTCGAATACTTAAAACTGTTTTAAAGATATATACTATAAGATATATAATTTTGGTATTTATGTATTAAATTAGTGTAATATAGTTTGTACGATCCATGGCTGTACATTTTGCTCCCTCAGGCTTTCTTAGTTTTGCAAGCGTGGCGATTTCCTAAATCGTCGGAGTTACGCCCTGAGAGTATAGCCAGAAGTAGGCACTCTCTTCAACTCTTCAACCTTGCATTCATTCGTTACATAGCAATTAACATTTCATTATATTCTATAGTAACTTTATACAACTGTTGTACGCGAGTGATTCATATTGAGTAAAACTAAAATCCTCTATTATTTAAAGACATCGGTCATCAGTCATCGGGACCGAGGAACCGTGCATAATATAAACTCAATGCTGCCAGTACGAACTAAATTATAACTGGAAAAACAGCAAATCTGATGCATTTTTGACGTCATACTTTTTTAACAGAACAGGGGCAGAAGGCTCACCAGTGATACCGCCGCCCATGGTTACTCTCAATGCAAGAGTGCTCTGCAGTGCGTTGCCTGTATTATCTTGAAGGACTCTAAGTCGAATAGGTTCGAAAATACCCCAAGAATAAAGGCAGCCCCATGCTAAATTAATTAAAGTTATAAATAAACTTTGATCTTAGTTAGAACAGAAGCATACCACAACGGTCCACACAATCCAAATCTAGACAAAGCCAAAACACTCTCACTTTTACACACATTACACAATCTCACAACACGGCCGAATTAGGTATTACTAAGTTAAATGAATTGAATATTTTTACCCTTTGTGAATGTTTGAACCTTTTTGTATATATTATGTATTCCATCTTTGGCTATATATGTTGTTTTTATTATATATGATTTGTGTTAGCTGTTAATTACGAAATAAATAA